TATCACTGGTGCCCCGCCAGCGTATACAGATAGCGTAAGCGGGGTTACGTTTTCATTTTCTTACATTAAAAAAAAAAACATTTAAAGAGAGTATCTTTGATAGTTTCAATAAAGCAATTCTATTTTACCATCAATTTTATTAAATCCTAGAAAATTGTAATTAGAATAAGTTAAGTCAATTATTGGGATGAAAACTATCCTACCTCTGGAATTTTCATACAGCATACTTTTTTCATTCCACTGAGGTGGCAAACAAGCATACAGCCCACCTGATTATAAGCGGTCACCGTAGCCCACACTTGTACTTGATATGCACATTTATGGAAAAAAAGGGTCAAAACAAATTGTCCTTCTATCTTATTAATTCAAGTCTTTGTAAAGGAGATTTTTAAACATAATTTTTAACTCTAAGTAGCTGGACGAATTTAAATGAAATTTGGCACACTGGTAGGTTACTTTATTATGTTAGGTACTTTATTATATAAAGATTTATGCTGTGTAAATCCGTGGGAAATAGCTAGTAGTAGCATAAGTTATGATTTTTATAACTTTTGCATAGCATCACTTATGGTTTATATGAGATGTCGCACATCAATTTCCATCACTTATAAACCATAAGATATGACCCATTCTTAAATGTTCAAACTTCTTCAAATTTCTTCAATTCAAAGTTCTTGACAATCATTTATTAGTCTCGAAAGCATTTTTTTCCATCCAAAAGTTTGATTATACGTTTATACATATGTAGATGTGGGCTTGATGATATTTATATATATAAGAAAGTAGAATTTTTGGCCGAAACTAGCCGAAACCGAAACCGAAATTTCGATCGGACACTAATAATAAGTCGCGATACAAAATATTGTTAGATAAAAATAGACAAGAGAATTGTCAAGAACATCATTATTTATGTTTCTACAACTACGTAAGTTTGAAATAGATTGGTACCCTACACATATATTTCACGATCCACCTTGATCTACATTAAATGATGATGATGCATTATTTATGAAATTCTTAGTACAGTTGTTTAGATGTTTTTTTATACCACTGAAGTGGCAAAAAGTATATGGCCCACCTGATGGTAAGCAGTTCATTCATTTTCATTTAAGAGTTTCTTCTTATCCTTCCTCCAGCCAGCTCTATCCCAGGCCATATCCTTTATCTCCCTATACGACATGACGTCTAGTGTTTCCTTTATCTGTCCCATGTAGTTAATCTTCGGTCTTCCTCTTCCTCTTTTGCCCTCTATCTTTCCTTCTATTTAAGCAAAGGTAAGCAGTTACCGTAGCCTAAAAAAGCTTGCAATACCAGGGGTATTACGCGCGCACTGCCGACCTTGAAGAAACCTCTTTATCCCTTCTTTGAAGTACCCCATGCTATTTAAATGTCGAATAGACTATATTTTAGATTACCAAAAATCTTTATCGTAACATAAGCGATCAAACCTATTGGAAATAGATAGTAAATAATAACTGAATATTTTTAGACATTTAATAAAAAAAATAAGCAGAATCCTATAAATATATGAGATTTTGCGTAGTTTCTAGTAAGTTCTTTGATAGATAGGTAACATCAGTACTGCGAATCAGTTATAATGGTCCATTTTTAAGCCTAAAAGATAGAAATATAATACTAAAAAAAAGCTTTTTTACTTTCCATATTAATACATATATAATTTATATAAAATTTTGTAATATTTTTATAATTTATAAATGTACAAATTTCTAATGTCGTTTGGAAGTTTGTTACACCAACGCTCTAAGTGTACACTGTACCTGAATGAAATACTTTACTTTTATTATTTTTACTTAAATTTATATAATATACTTTAATTTATCTTTCTTTATTATTTTCTCTAACTTCTAAAACACATTTTTTTATGCAACTTAGAATGTTAAACAAGCTGACGGCCCACCTGATGAAAAATGGTTACCGTTATCTATAGATATGAGCAGTATCATGGACATAACATAGTATACTGTTTCGTAAATGATACCCCCCATGCGTTGCCATTCCTAAGGACTCAGGTGTTATTCATCTGTACCCTGTAAATACACTGCCATATCCCACCCTTCACACAGTCATTTATTTACATTTAAAGTAACTAAATGACTTATTAAATGATAATAATTTCATTTGTTAATCCAAAATAAAATTAAATAATTAAAATATATTAACTTTATCCTAAATTAACTCCCGCAGGTACATAGACGGTGAAGGGGTAACTAAATTTATCGTCGACAAATGCATGTAACTCTCCTATTGAGGATTATTATCGTGAGCATTATTATTCTATTTCTTTTTTATTTTAACACAATTTAAATAGCTTTTGTTTTTTGTTTAGCAAAACCTTTTTGTTTGTACAGAAAATGATTTAACAAGTTATAAATAGCGTGGAACGCACCTGACCAATATTCTGTGCTGGACCAACGTTATTAAGTTCCCTTTGTGCGGAACATAAGTAGGTTAGGATATCAATATAGGTAACCTGATAGATCGTACCCGTATCACGTCAGATTCAATTTCTCTTTGACGTAAAAGTTAGATATTTGCTTAATATATATTTTTTAAGTCGTACTATAGATATATAAAATATCATTATAATATTAATATAATATATATGGAATTTTGTAAAAAATATTTACATGCTTAGATAACTAGATAGTTAAAGTTAAAGTTAAGCATGTAAATATTTCGTCAAACTTGACGGATTTAATGCAGCTTTTATGGTATTTATTAGTATACCCTGGATTAAATAGAGGATTTTTTACGCGAAATTACACAGAAATAACCGTGGGACAAGGATCAGTAAGGGGGAATTTTTAAAATTTTCACGAAGCTGGAATGCAATAAGATCTGCGCAGGTTAGGCATAGCTTTACTATGAGAAATAGGTATTATTAAAATATTTTCTATTTTTATCCCGTGACTGCGTGTTTTATAGGAAAGGTTTTAAAAAGAATTTTAAAAACCTTTCCTATGAAATATTTTTCCATTGTTAAGAGAAATTATTTAATTTTACAAATACTTCGTAAAATTTTAGATTTTAATAAGTACTGTTTTCATAATATCCTGTGGAGATCTACAGAATTATTATTTATATACGTATATCGTTGGTTTAGATCCGGCTCAAAGGACTAGACAACGAGTTATTTGAAAATTGATAAATCCACTGGTAACCGTTAGAATATCAGTTATCATAAATAGGCTGGCAAAAAATAATATTTTTTGTCAAGCTCACTCAACAGAGAGGTTAAAATGGTAACATAAAGCACCTTTTGTGTTACCATTTGGAGCTACGTCAAAAAAAAAAGGAGCTAATGGATTACACAGTAATTTTTGGATATATTACTAGTTTTTTTTTATTTCGTCATATGTAAATCGATTTTTATCGATTTTTTCTATTGAAAACATTTACTCTGGTGTCATTTCGTAGTTATTTCCATCATATCCCATGAGAACTGAGCACGGTACGGATACAGAATCCTTAACAATCAACCATATAACTTCGTATCTACTCCTCGCTTTTATGGTATGCTCTTAGCCCTTAGGGCCATAATTATTTCAAGCATTATGTTATATTCTATGAGTCTATAAGACTGTCAGTTATGCATTGTTACTAATTTCTTTTTTATTTCATCATAAAATGCGAGTCTATTTTGATAGTATTTTTCTCTATCGAAAGTGTTTACTCCAGTATCATTCTGTAGTTATTTCCAACATATCCCATGGGGGCTGAGCTCGTAGAAGATACAAAGTTTTTAACAATCAATCATATAACTTCATATATACTTCTCGGGATTAAAGTATGCTCTTAGTCCTTAGGGCTATAAATATCGTAAGCTTTGTGCTATATTCAGCGAGGTCTGTGATGCTGTTCATATCTATAAGATTTTACTGCATTCAATCAGGTTTTTTTATAAATGATAATGTAATGGTACCTCGCTTGCGCTATCGGTATACACTGGCGGGGCACCAATTAGGGTTGATAGGTGAATGAATGAGAAGACAGGGGACCGTTTTACCAGAGGGAGACTTTGTACAAAAGTCGATTGCTTGGGTACCTCTATCCCATTCGTGTCTCAACCGTGAAGCAGTTGTGTGTGTGGCTGTGTTTCGGTTTGAAGGGTGGGATATGGCGTGAATTTACTGGGTACAGAGGAATAACACCTGAGTCCTCAGTAATGGCAACGCATGGAGGGTATCATGGACGAAACAGTATACTCTGTTATGTTCATGGTACCGCTCATGTCTATAGGCAACGGTTACCACTTTCCATCAGGTGGGCCGTCAACTTGTTTGTCATTCTAAGTTGTATAAAAAAAAGACAGATCAGTTAGCTCATTGTGACGAATTCAACGGTAAATTAGTCACGATGGTCCAGGGGGAAATGTGTGGAGCTCGACCTGATATGGTATTGCATATTGATAGCAATGGGGACTAACCTCGCCGTTACTAACAATTCCTTCCCCATTAGCTTGTTTATAATTCCGAGTTGTATTTTTATTATATGTAAGCACTTGATGGAAAGTAGTAACCGACGCTCATATACATGAACAGAACCGTGAATATCACAGAATATACAATGACGCCTTTGATAACCCTCATGCATTGTCATTACTCTGTATTATGGTATTATTCTTCACTATTCTATAATTTTACTGCCATACTTCACTCTTTACCTCGCCCTTTATACCGAAACACAGTTACAAAGTATAGCTTCTTCACTGCAGAAATATGATTAGGACAGAGGTATCCGAGTATCTTTATAGTAAAAAATTATGTATGACTAGTTATAACTCGTGATTTCGCCCGTGTGAATACACAAAGTATCTTATATTTTAAGGTAGGATATAACTTATCTCTGTATAAAATTTCATTCAAATCCGTTTAGTAGTTTTTCATAAGAGAATAACAAACATTCATCTTTACAAAGTTTCGCATTAATGTTAGTAATAGGATTATAATATGATATTATATACCTGTTTTTGATTACAGCGGCACATATTTCGAGACTACGGCCATCGCAATCTCCCATCGCTATATCTCTACAAAAATGCCCTACCTGGACTTCCCTGGATCCACTCAGGTTCAAGGGATACTGGGATAACTTATCGACTGGAGTACTTGTTAATACGGGGCAAACAGGTGAGTGAAACAGTTATAAGAAGTCTAAATGTCAAAAATAATCGAACGAATATCGCCTCACTTGTAAAGTGAGGTCTTCATCATCATCATCTCCATCTCAGTCTTTAACTATTCACTGCTGAACATTAGCCTCCCCCTTGTGGAGTTAAGCCAATAGTTGCCACGCTTGGCAGGCGCATTAGCAACCGCAGTTAGGCTTTGGAAATGTTTTAAAATGGATGCTGCTGCTCATATCGTTAGTCGCCTCTTACGACATCCACGGAAAAGGGATGGCCTATTCTTATATTATAAAGTGAGATCTTATTTTAAATAAAAACTAATAAAAAAAAACAATTCATTTGAATGCAAATAGAATTGTCGTTTTACATACGTATAGTATATATCTGTCACACCTATCTCCCATTAGGGCAGGCAGAAATAATGGAACGCCAAATGCTTCGATTCAAACAGGCCTCTTTCACTTCTTTCACATTCATCAATCTTTTCATACACGCTCGCTGTTTTTGTATAACAAAATGATAACTTTGTTTTTCTACATTCGTATTGTCACTTCTTGTACCTATTGGATGTTTTTGAACAAGTGCGATTTCTGTTGAATTTCTGTGAACCTTTTAGGTTTCGGGTCTTCAGAAAAGCTGATGTCCCCAGAAAGCATTTGACACAATGCTCCTTTCAATATTTCGGGGATATCAGCTTTTCTAGGAACACGAAGTTGAAAGCACAATTGAAAGGATTCACCGAAGTTCGACAAGGGTTGTATTTATTGAAAATCAGCCTATGTATATATTTTTTATATGGAAATAGTATAATATTATATATATAATTAACATCATATTTCTGCATCTAAATAACTTCTAAAAATTGGTAAACAGTAGGAAAATTATACGTTAATGAATGGAATGGAAACGGAATGGCAACGCATGGGGGGTGTCATAGACGAAACAGTATACTCTGTTATGTCCATGGTACTGCTCATGTCTATAGGCGACGGTTACCACTTTCCATCAGGTGGACAGTCAGCTTGTTTGCCATTATAAGTTGCGTAAAAAAAAAGTTACTTTTATACGACACATAAGGTGTATTTTTGGGTAGACGGCACCTTTTACGAAGGTAATATATCAATGCCATTGGTGTCTAATACTTATACGCTATTCAGAGTATTCTCTGATTGTTTACTATTCTGTATATCAATGGCGTTTACTTAATACATTAAAAGGCACTATTTGCACTATTCATGTAAGTAAAGAAACTTCGACTCTATTATATTGTATTTTGATGTTATTTTTTTATACTTAAAATGACAAACAAGCTAACGGCATAATTAATGAAAACAGGTGGGGGTAAGGGATTGTTAGTAATAGGTAAGTTAGCCCCCATCGCTATTAATATACCTTATCAGGTCGATCTCCACGCGTTTCCCCCTGGAAACCGTCGTAACTAATTTATCGTTGAATTCGTCACGATGGGCTAAAACCAATTATTGGGAGAGGGGGGATTGTTAGTAATGCAGACTATTAGTCCCATTGCTAGCAATACACCTTATCAGGTCAACCTCCACGTGATCCCCCCTGGAAACCATCGTGCTGAATTCCAGGTGTATTTATCACACCACAACACCATTCAATACACCTGGAATTCAGCCACCGTCAGCGTATACCGATAGCGCAGGCGAGGCTACCATTCCATTATCAACCATTAAAAAAATACCACTTATCTCTCACTGGTGCCCCGCTAGTGTATACCGATGGCGCAGGCGGAGTTACCATTAAAAATAAATGGAAACAGGTAATCGTTGGCTATATATTTTTTTTCAATAGATGAAAATGGAATGGTAACTCCACCTGGGCTATCGATATATACTGATGGAACACCAGTGAAGGATAGGTAAGGATGAAACAGGTCAGTAGCCCATCGTGATGAATTCATCTAAAACTAATCACGATGGTTTCCAGGGAGATCTGCGTGAAGGTCGACCTGTTTGGATATATTGTTAGTAATTAGCCTGTTATATCTCATTACTAACAATCTCTTTCCCCCTGTCTATAGACTTTTTTTTTAATGGATGATAATGGCATGGTAACCTCGCCTACACTCTCGGTATACACCGGCGGGGCACCAGTGAAGAATGATAGGCGAGAATGAAGCAGGTCAGTTAGCCCATCGTGACGAATTCAACAACGAATCAATCATGATGGTTTCCAGGGGGAACCGCGTGGAGGTCGACCTAATAGGGTTTATTGCTAGCAATGAGGTTGCTAATCCCCATTACTAACAATCCCTTCTCCCCCCCCCTGTCTATAGATTTGAACAGCATCATGGATATTACAGAATATTATTATGGCCATAATGCCCCATGATGCGGTGCCATTCCTGAGGATTATGATGTTGTACCTCTGTAGGTACCCTCTAATTTCAGCCCATATCCCATTTTTCAAACCACTGTTTTAGAGTAGAAACGTAAATAGGACAGAAGTACATTTGCAGATGTTTTTTGCACAAAGTCTCCTTTTAGTAAATATGACGGTACCTCTACCCACATTTATGGTTTGCACTAATGAAGTACCAGTGATGTGAAATAGGTGATGAATAAGTCAGGTCAGTGGGCCCATCGCTAATGTTTCGCCCATGATACCCCCCATATGTTGCTATTCCTGAGGACTCAGGTGTTATTCCTCTGTGCCCTGTAAATTCACTAATAATAAATATTTAATAATAAATGTTTATGTTTTATTTTAGTAACAATGATCCGTCTCTTAGTAACAATCTTTATCTTACAAAGCAATGTTAGTAAACGATAAACACGGTTGAGATAGTTTTGTAACTTGCTGCATCAAAGTTCTCAGTAAGCAGTGGAGCAAGTGGTTTTCAATTCGTCTGAATTTATATACATACTTAATTAAAAGTGTCTATGAGACATCTCACCGTGCATCTGTCTATGTGTTTATAAAGTTGATTTTTACAGACTAAAAAGTTTTATATAATTTTTTCATGTCTTTCATTTATTTTAACAATTATTTTTTTAAGTTATGGATAGTTTTTTATTCTTTATCAGCTTTTGTCCACAACTTCGTCCGCTTGACCGAGATATCTTTGCTGATCAGGATAAAAAATACTCTATATCCTTCTCCATTCGATATTAAGAAACGATACGAGAAGGATATACCAAATCACGTCTATACCAATTTTAAAAATGATTCGTTAAGCCATTAAGGTGCTATATTGTAAGAAACAAACTTATTTCACATTTATAATATTAGTAACTATTAAAATAATCTCTATCTGTAGCTATTCTAAAATTGATTAATGTAAGATGGCACTGGCGGCCTAAAATGTGCAAACATTCTTAAATAAATAAAATAAAAAAAATCTAGAATTGTTTTTAAAATGTCATATTTCTAGAATTAACGTTTTTAGCTGTGCGTCGATACTGTATTGCAGTATATAATTTAATCTTTTATAATAAATTGAAATTTCATCATTTTAATCTATATGAACAATACACATTTTGTCTATTACATACAGCGAAATCAACGAAATTCTCAACGTATTATCTAGTAATGATAAGATTACAATGTCAAGTACATTTAATCAACACAATGTCGTGATAATATCGACATTATATTTTATTTGATTTATTTCCCGTCTGTCTGTTTGTCTATGTTATGTAATAAGTCTCGTTTTTTATTCAATATGTACACATTTCTGATGACCTCGTTGGCATAGCGGTTTAAGATAATACCTCACATTCCGATGATTGCGAGTTCGATCCCCGCATAATACATTTCTATTTATGAGTAAAGAATGCGATGCACTGTTTGATAGAAAATTGTTATCGTCATCACATACATGGACTACATATCCATGTATTTGGCGACATCCTGTGACTTCCATAGCATAGCGTTTTTTCATTCAGTTAAATATTTTTAAGTGTATCACTTGAGATATTATTAGTAGAAGGGATTATTTGTGACATTGTATGGATTTAGGATATGATAGAGCATATACTTTATTTACATTAGTGATACAGATTTCTATAAAAAATAGACACAAAATAAAAGGTTTATTTATTTATTTATTTATAAATTACTCACCACACTTACAATCTCCCAAAACGTGTAGTGAGCCATAGGTTTATTTTACAAACTTAAAAATTTTGTATAACATTTTAAAAATATATCTATTTTGTCATTAAATATATCAATATCTGACTGCTGAGCAATCAGAGAATTGAGCAGAGAAATATTTTATTCGTCTTTTCATTTTTAACCGTAAAATAATAATATTAATGATAGATTTTAATTTATAATTTACGGTTTATAAATATTTTACTGTTATTTTAACGAAATTTAATTACTTGAACATCAAACAACGGAGATCGTCAGAAATCCTATTAATATTTTTTTATTTATTTATATTATAAATGCCATGTGATCCCGGTAGAGAATACGCCATCCCTTTTTTGCCATGGGTGGTCGTAAAAAGTGACTAAGGGATTTAATGATAAAGGGATGGGCAGCATCGTCTCTCCTTAAACATCATCAAAGCCTAATTGAGGTTGCCAATATGCCTGCTAAACGTGGCAACTACTAGCCAAACCCCCGTTTTGGGGGAGGCCTATGTTCATCAATGGACAGGAGACAGCTGATATGATACAATATGTTATTATAAATGCGAAAGTTTGTAAGTATGGATCGATGGATGGATTGATGTATGGATAGATGCATGGATGGATTAATTTATTAGAGGGAGACTTTGGACAAAAGTCGATTGCTTAGGCACCTCTGTCCCATTCGTGTTTCAATCGTGAAGCGGTTGTGTTTGTATCGTTGTGTTTCGGTTTGAAGGGTGGGATATGGCGTCAATTTACTGCGTATAGAGGAATAACACCTAAGTCCTCAGGAATGGCAACGCATGGGAGGTATCATGGGCGAAAAAGTATACTCTGTTATGTCCATGGTACTGCTCATGTTTATAGGCGACGATTACCACTTTCCATCAGGTGGGCCGTCAACTTATTTGCCATTCTAAGTTGTATAAAAAAAAAAAAACTTTCGAATTAGAAATGCGTTTCGAAAATTGATTCAGAATAAGTGACATAATTATATAACATAATTTAAACTACGGATACAATCGCATAAATATTCAGAAGAATTTAAAACCATTTGTAGGTAGTATAAAAAAGAAAAGAAAATATATAGGTAACAGCGTAGTTTGTTGCAGCATATTTTACGTTCGATGCATCGGCAGAGCGGCCCGTACTGAATGGTGGGCCTTTAATTGGACAGTATATATTTGAACAAATGCATTTCCACTGGTCTGTAGATGAGTATACGGGATGTGAACACGTATTGGATGGACGAGGGTAAGCACATTTACTGTTTTATTTTACTTCTAAATATCTATGGATGTGATTTTTTACTGCAATTCATAATGATAAATAAATTGATAAATAATTAATTGATTGGTTAACCTATTGACTGGTCGATCGATTAATTGCTTGATTTAATGATTGATTACATTTTTTGTGTACAATGTATAGTAAAAATACATACCAGTAGATTAGAAATATATATTATGTAGCAAATAATACGAGGGTAAGGTAAAAAGTTCTCGTCCTGACAATGAAAGACTGCGATATTCAGTAAAAAAATATTTTTATTTTTCTACGTAATATCCCTTGACTTTAACACACTTGATCTAACGTTTCTCTAACATTAATATTCTTTTCCGGAAGTGAGAGTCTGGATGGTTGTAAAAATATTAATTTACGGCCCTCTCAACTTCTTTATCGGACGTGAACCGCTTTCCAAAAACAATTTTTTTTATATTTAAGAATAGATAGAAGTCTAAAGGTGGCAAATCTAAACTTAAACTTGTCATACAAACATATACACTTAGGCAAAAAAAAATAGCTGATTAAAACACCATTTGTGTCAGGCCGAGAACTTTTTACCTTATCATCGTATAACGATTGGATCAGGATTTGGTAACCCTTTTAAATAATGACCTTCGTATGGTAAACACATTGCTTTGCATAATAAGGTCCCGAGTTTGATTTCAGTCGAGTCAATTTAAGGAAGGAACTTTGCTAAATTGACACGTGTCTCAGTATTCTGGATTATATGTTACATGGTTTTTCATAACACAGAGTCTCAAAACTTTGAGAACGAGAAGAACTGTGTGACTGACACATATCATTTACCTATTATTCATTCCAGGTATGCAGCGGAATGTCACTTCGTCCATTATAATAGTAAATATCAATCTATGGAGGCAGCTATGGGGTATCCCGATGGTCTCGCTGTGGTAGGCTTTTTCCTTGAAGAAGTAGATGCTCCTAATCCAAAATTTGACAGCCTTGTTCATGGTTTGGAGGGGATCTCGAAGAGAGAAAATTCAGTAGTGCTAACTGCAGGTTAGTATTAAGTAATAGTAATGGATTGTGATTTAAACTCTCAACAAAAGTAGGTATCGTATGAAGCGGTTAAGGGTAGAGTTTTTTACTTGATGAAATAAAGTGTTAAATAAATAAATAAGGGAACTTAATTGTCGAGAAATGAATAACAACGACACTCTTAAAACTCACCATTTACGATCTACTAAGGAATTAAGAAATAATATGCTTTTAAAAATGTACATATTTACTTACAAATGATTCTGTTTATAGAATCAGGAATAACAATTAAATATTTATTTATGACTAAATAAATTCCTAACGATTTAGTTATACTAATATTATTAAAATAGTTAAAATTATAATATTATTTAAAAGCCGTAAATAAGTTTGTTTGTTCACAATGAATCACAATTTGTAGGTATAATGCTGTTGTATAATCACAAATTACCAGATCACAAATCTTACCAGAGGGAGACTTTGTACAAAAGTCGTTTGCTTGGATACCTCTGTCCATTCGTGTTTCTACCGTAAAGCAGTTGTATTAACATGGCTGTGTATCGGTTTAAAGGGTGGAATATGAATGAATTTACAGGGTACAGAGGAATAACACCTGAGTCCTCAGAAATGGCAACGCATGAGGGGTGTGATGAACGAAAAAATATATTTTGTTGTGTCTCATTGTATAGCTCATGTCTATAGGTGACGGTTACCACTTTTCATCAGATGGGCCGTCAGCTTATTTGCCATTCTAACAATAAAAAAATATAATTTATTTATTTATTAATTATATTATTTTTTAATAATTAATTATGTATTTATATTGTGATTATTCAAAAATATACTCATTCAATTTTGCATATATTAGGTAAAATAAACAGAGTCTACAAATTAACAGAATTCTAAAAAAATCTCAAAAATTATTTTTAACTATTTTTATAATTATCTTATTTCTAATAAATAAATTACAGAATCGTTATCATGGATGAACAGCAGTAACCTACACGAGGGTAGCTATGTGACGTACAAAGGTTCATTAACAACACCGCCATACACCGAATGTGTAACTTGGATTATTTATGAAAAACCAGTACAAATTGGCAGTCAACAGGTAACTATGGTTTTATTAATATTTTATTTATTTATATATACGCTTTTGTACATTCACTTATATTATAGATATTAGGTTACCAAAATAATCTTACTTATACGGTAACCACATATTATTAGGTGGGCCGTAAGCTTGTTTGCCACCTCAGTGGTATAAAGAAAAAATTATTGCAAATTTTCCATTATTAAAATATTAAAGATTTCAAATATTACGAGTAATAATAGTTAATAATTTTATTATTGGTATATATACATTAAAATTACCGTGTGGTCCCGGTATAGAATAGGCCACCTCTTCCTTTCCCGTGGGTGTCGTAAGAGACGACTAAGGGAATATATGTAATTATTTATGTTGTTTTTTGTATATATGTAAATTATAGTATGTATATATATATCAATTAATTCTAGTACCACATTCGAACATTCTGACGTTTCCCTAAGGCTATCTAGGAGAGAATGCTTTTAGCACTAAGTCTGCCTCGTACAAATACATGTATTAATGAATAAATAAATAGCTACAAACTTATGATAATCCTTTTAAACTGCGCCATCTACTGTATTAATTGATATAAAGGTCCATTAACCTATATTTAGAACGAAAGGTCACAAACAGGAATAACGAATGACATTGTCTAAATATTTTATCCACAATAGTTTTAGATTTTATCAAAACATTACACACATCTTAAAGGTTTCTAAAGGGAATATCTTTCACAATTATTTGTAGTTGGAGTGTTTTTAAATAATACTATAAAGTAACAATAATTTCGTGAAAAACTACGTATGTATCAATGCTCAAAAATATTTTTTCTGTGTCAATATTAAAGTAGCCTGGAATGACCTTTCAGGTAATTCATCTTTCATTCTTCGTTTAAATACATATATCACAGTCCATCTTATATGTAGCTCACTATTGTTATTCTAATAATAATAAGAATATACATTACAAGCTTTATCCTGCGGCTCCGCCCACATGAATCGGTAAACAAAATATATATGGTAGTATATTTTGCGTAGTGATTCACTTGGGCAGAGCATAGTGTACCAAATTTTCATTGAAATCTCTTCAGTAGCTTTTTCTTGAAAGAGTAACAAAAGCACCTCTATCCATAAATCGGTACATACTTTCACATTTATTATGTTAATAGGCTATACATATACTATAAAGTAAACCATTTTTTACCATGACAGATATATATCTAATGAATAAACAACATTTCCAAGATATAAACACATTTTTAAAAACGTTCACCAAGTTAAGCGCCTAAATTTAATAGCTTTTTACGTTATTGTGCTGGATATTTACAGCGGCTATAAAACGCTTTCCTTATACTAACAAAATTGCTGCGTACCTTTTAAATGACTTAATAACATTTAACTTCCATTGTACGAATGATTTGCAGCTGAGCCTTATGAGGAAACTGGAGGGACCTAACAGCTTGCCTATAGAGAGAAACGTAAGGCCTACGCAGCGACAACCGCCGGGACACTCTGTAATATATGTGAAACAAGTCGAACAATCTAAGCTATGACATTGTATATTAAAAATAAATTGTTATATCTATATAATCAACTCATTTCTTTATTATTATATTTCCCCCCAAAAAGAACAAATGATGTTATGTTGAAAAAATGCATTACAAGATCGAAAATATAACAATTTTGAGGTGGATATCATTACAAAATCTCAATATAATGTGTTAACATCTACTTTTCAACCGATTTCAAAAATGAGGTTCTCAGATCAGTTGTATTTGTTTTATGTTTATTACTTTATAACTCTGTCAATAGTAAACAGATTTGGAAAATTATTTTTTATCTGAAAGGTATACTTACAATTTTGTCTCGTATAAATTTTATCAAATTCCATTGATAAAATTTAAAAAGTTTAGTTTTTAAATTAAAATAGTTGGTTTACAAATAAAGTCGGTTAATTGTGAAACATAATCTTTAATAATATATAGTAGAGCAAATACATCTATCCTGATAACTTTCTCTATTAATATTACAATAATGAAAGAAAAATAAGTTGTTTGAACTAACTAACTTTAAAGTAACAACATAGTTGAATTATTGGCACTTGATTATTGTTTTTTTTTTCTCTTAAATTTACTGAGAAATAATATTCAGTATTTCAAAATAATAATATTATACTACCTCCACATATAAATAAATAAATAAAAGATTTATTGCACATAAAAATATACAGTCATGGGCTTACAGTAATTTCAAAGTGAAATATATATGTATAAATAATGAAGCATAAATAATGTATAAAATGTAATAAAACATATGCAAGTAGTATACTTCATTATATTATAAATTGATAAAAAAAAATAAAATGTAGACATAAATTTAATTATCAACGACAAAAATCAAATTCTATCCATTTGTTCAAATCTAAACTACTTAGAATTCCTACAACAGTCTCAATAGCTGTTGAAACATGCTCATATGCGTATATATAGAATACGTTTCTGATTATATTTATGGTGTGAGGATCTACAGTTAAAGATTCAATTCTGTGATAACTTTCACTGGGCTCTGACTGTTCTGGGATTTCTTTTTTATAATTTATCATATCTAAAACACGCTTGTAGCTTAAATCAAAACTATCAACCATCTTTCCTAATAACAATTTCGTAGCTCGATATTTATGAGTTATAAGATCCTCGCCTTCATTCCAGGGCTTCAATAACTCCATATGTGATTTTCTAAGCAACTCGTAATACTTGATTCTTTCATCATATGCTTTTTCCATCATCTTCTGCCTCCAATTACTAATGGATAAGTCCCATAACTCACCCGGTACCATTTCTGTATACATATCTTTCATTTTATTGACTTCAGTCTGATGATAGAAGCATGTAGGGTTTTTCATATTAAATATCTCTGATTCCAAAATATTTTTTTTATACGGGTATATCTGGGGTTCAGTTATTGTGGCTTTATGTACTATATCTTCTAACAAGTCCATAACTATATTATTTATAGCTTTTCTATTTATTCTATTTTTAAGTGTCTCTATTTTTCTTTTAATATTTACTATATTTTCAACGGAGTCCCCATGTAAGTTTATAATTAACTTATCTGCTAAAGTATCAAAAAAGCAAATATTACAAAAGCTTAGTTCCCAAATTTCACTGTATATACCAACTTTGTCTGATACAAATGTAAAAGATAGTTGTTTACTTTGTCCGGGCGATAAAACATCTTCATTTTTATTAAAAAAGAAGACTGGTGTATGAAAATCTTCAGGAATAAAAGGAATAGATCGTTTAATTTTCTTCCAACTATATCTCAATGCAACAGTCCCAAGATTTTCCAAAAATAATTTACTTCTTCCCGCTCTTTTTAAAGGAACATTGAAATAATATGTCCATGAGGTGCACGGTTCATGCCAACTTTCTCTTTGCATTTTCTGTATAATTTCAACATTTTGGCCAGGAATATATTTAAAAATTACAGTATTATTAATTCTAACAGCATATATACTGCATGTTATATTTTCAGACACTAAAGACGGAACTACACTAATTGAAGGTATTGGTAGTATTTTCTTTGGCGGCGGTACAGGTTTACTGCCTTTTATTATAAGTTTACTTACATCAGGTCTGCAAGTATGCAAACAAGTGACATGAACAATAATTTTGTACAATTTGTAACTTTTCTTGTATATTGTTCTTTATTTTCATATAAAATAATAAATCTACGCAGGTCTGGTAGATGGTTTATCAACGCAGATTTTAAACCATTACATTAAAATTTTATAGACATACACTAATATTAAAAATTTGAGAATCAATTTGTACGTTTGTTACCTTTTTGACTCAACTAAATGGCTTGAAACTTAAAGTTCACATATTATTTCACACAGAGAAGGATATTAAGCTATTTTTATTTCAATCAATCAACATAATATGCCAGACATTGCAATGAAGTCGCAGATGAAAACTAGTTAGTAGTGAAAAATTTCTTATAACTAATTTATTGCACAATTGTCATTGAGTATTTAAACTTGTTATTACATTATTCTTACTGATATTATAAATGTGAAAGTGAGGTTGTTTGTTACCTTATAAAGCCTTAACGGTTTAACTAATCACTGTAAAAATTTATATATACGTACGATATAGGATGTAGAAGGAGTATGAGCTATTTTTTGTCCCAGTCGGTAAAAATATCCCAAATACACGAAAGTTGCAAGTAAAAGCTTATACATACGTATTTTAAAAATTTAATAACGATATTACAATATTTACCTGAAAGGGTCTATTTTCTCTATTTTATGAACCAATTCTTTTTCTCTCTTCATTCTATAGTTGACATAATCTTCATCGAGTTGATTACAAGTCTTTCGTTTGGAAACTCCAGTTAAACCTTTTTCATTGAATTGAATATAATCAGGAACTCCTACATGTTCAATAACAGACGGATGACCAAGTTCAACTTGTGTTCTATGCACTTCATAGACTGGATTGCAGTAACATTTTTGCTTTAGTCTAACTGGTTGTTCCCATAAATTATTCCTTACTGTTGGTTTTTTCTCAACCTGTGCATGTTCTAATACCACTTTACGTTCTTTATCTTCACGTACTTTTTCTAACAAATTCATTGTCAAATCTACTGGTGGTCTGTTAGTTCTTTCTCCTAATCGTTTTGTCTCTTCTTTACGAATTCTTATCCATTTTTCCCAAACGAGTAACTCATGATCAGGATCTATATGATCTTTAACAAAAAATTCTCGATTTTGAAGATTTTCCATGATACGTAATATACCAAGCAAAGTTACAATCAAAGTTACTGTCTTTGAAAGACTTCAAGCGTCTTATTATTAATAATAAATCGTTTCTATTTGCATCATTTTACATATTTCAATTGCAATGATGTATCTGGAAAGAATGGCATTTATATATTTTTTTCAAATTGACGGTAAAATCTAGTAGTTATATGAAATAAACGTCATGCCTTTTATTTTGTTCTTAGATTAAGAAGTAAGATTTCATTTTAGGTTGCTCATATTCTTTGTTATATTATTTACATTATTTCCACGTTAGGTCTCATTCTATAATAGAACAAAAACTTCTGTAATAGAATATAAACACAAATGTAATGTTGGCATGGAAAAAGATAGGATACTTTTTTCACCTGTCATGCAAACGAGGTCGTAGTTACAGTATTATATTTTTCTTGTACGTTATTATTTAGTATCTAATTTGTGGTTCTTTACTAATTAATAGAGAGTACAACATAAATCAAAAATACAACTATTTTTTTTATTAATAAATTTAATTAGAAACCATTAGAGTTGAACGTACGCTACGAACACTTTCTTTATCTACGACCAATGATTTGTGTTTTGTTAATGCTGAAGCATGATGATTGATGTTGTTAGTTCCTTTTCCAATTCCATTGTCAATAAATTAAAAGTACTTACCTACTTCTATGATATTATTTGATTAATCTCAAATCTCTCTGATGAAATTAATATTTTTATTTTGAAAATTATGTAGTGCCTAATTTTAGATTTCTATATAATCCAAATAATAAGTAAATTGTCAAGATTTTTTCTAATAAATAAAATAATATGCCTACTATTATCCCCATGATACAACCAGGTAATAACATACTATTATACACAGTACTTCTTTATATGAAGGTAAAATTCCTATTTGGTATTATTATATCACAATGTTTTTATGTTTTTGAAACAGAAGAAGAAGAGGAAGCTCCTAAAGTAGAGGTCAAAGTTGAACCTCCATACGGAACAATAGAATGGATATACTACTGGAGTGAATTTGAAGGAGATCTGCCAACTCCAATTGACATATCCATAACTGGTTCTATCCGATACAAATGTCCAGAACTGAAATGGTTCAACTTTGATGTGTTCCCACATAAAATGAAATTAACCAATACTGGATACACAGGTTCTTATTGTCATAAAGAATAATAAAATTGTATAAAATATATTTAGATTACTGTTGGATATCAAAGCAAGTTCCAAGAGATACTTTATGAGAATCGAAAACTAAAGATTTACATGTTTTTATTTCATGCTTATAATATTTTTTAAAGGAGTTTTGCCAGTAGTTATCACGCTTGGTAAGAGGGTTGGCAACAGTTAATCTTTGATGAAGTATTAAGAGTGATGCTATTGTCCATCCCTCGACCATTAAATCCCCTTAGTTTGACACCCAGGGGAAAGGAAAGGTAGGTCCATTCTATGCCGGGACCACACGGCGGCTATTATTAACTCAGTATATTTATGTATTTAACTTTCACACTTACATTAAACGCATTCTCTTGTCTATCAGTTAACTATGAGACAAAAAGAAAAGTTTGTTGGCAGTACAATTGAAAATATAAAAAAAAGAAAAATAATATCTACTATCATAACACTTAAAATAATCTAAAAAAAACATTCCAAAAGACTATATGTTTTTTAATCATACCTAGAAAGAATTTTGATTTTCTAAATAATATTCCTTATGTAAAAAACTACTGAGTGAAACTAAAATCATTAGCATGTTTGAGATAACTAAGTTGATAGTTGGACGTATTATGTTAGCAAAGAGAGCTGAAATTGTTTCGCATTAGTCTAAGAATTGTTATTGTCTTTTCGAAAAAGTATTTTTATTAGTTTTCTCTTTACGCAACTTAGAATGGCAAACAAGCTGACGGCCCACCTGATGGAATGTGGTAACCGTCGCCTATAGACATGAGTAGTAGATAGACATAACAGAGTATACTGTTTCGCCTAGGATACCCCCCATACGTTGCCATTCCTGAGCACTCAGGTGTTAGTCCTCTGTACCCTGTAAATTCACTGCCATATCCCACCATTTAAACCGAAACATAGCCAAGCAAACACAGCTGCTTCACGGTAGAAACACCAACGGGACAGAGGTGCCCAAACAAACGAGTTTTGTAAAAAGTCTCCCTCTGGTAGAAAATTCCAATAACAGCGTCAGATAATATCAATTTCAATTTGTAAACAAAGAATGTTTGAAACTACAATCCATTTATATTGTCTCAAGTTAAAATCGAACTGGGACCACGTTAGTACTGTGAAAATAACTTAATTACTTTAAATAACTTGTAGTACTATTAGGATGTAAATGGAAAGCTGAAAGGCCTTACTTGGAAGGCGGTCCATTTTTGGAAAAACACATTTTCTCACAAATTCACTTCCATTAGGGATCAAACATGATGGAAGGCAGTGAGCATTCTGTGGACAAAAGCCAATATCCTGGCGAAATGCAGGTTTGTACCTACAAAAAAAAAAATATAGATAAAAAAATATAATTTTTCAAAACTTCATATACACAGTCACACATATTATTAGTTTCAATTTTACTTTTAAAATTTTATGCAATTTACAAATTTTGCAAAAATATATAAAACAAAAAAGAATGAACGGATTTGATAATTGTACGTTCTCCATAACAATATACATACATATATATATATATATATTACTACCATTTTTTGTTTATTAGTTACTAACAATTTATATTAACACATTTGTATAAATCAAAACGAACTCAGGTAGGCACTACTATAAATCCTATGAATTTTTTGTCAGGCGACTTTTTTCAAATCGGAGTACATTACTCAAGACGAAGCCTTTCAACATGATGATGGTGTTGTAATTATTTGTTACATTATTAAGGTAAATAATTTTGTTAATTATATATTACAAAGATTAGGTAGGTTTAAAGTGCTTCACGATTTCTGCTTAAAATATTGAACCTAACCCTGCAATCTTTTACTCCGGAAAGATTGCAGATTTTTTGCAAAGTCACAAAGACAGAAATTATCCATTATCTCTTAATCCTGTAAAAATTTTATAAAATTACTCTATAATATTTACAAAAATGTGTACAATATTTTCCTTCTAAATATACTAGTCATTTTAAAAAGCAGAGTCATTTTAAATATAATAACTAGTAAAAAGGAATGAGACACTTTTTTTTACTAATAAATAAATAGTCCCATGATTGGCTTTAATTTTAATTAATTTAAAAGTCTAGATACTATAAACATCACAGAATATATGTGACGTCTCATGCATCCTTAAGACAAAGGTATTCTGCTCGGTACTCACAAACTTAAAGTACTTAAATCTTAAGGACTTGAATATACAGCAGTTACCTATTTAGAATCTAAATGGTTAATTTAATTAAGCCAACTTTCCACATAACAATTTGCCGTCGACTTGTTCTTGTGATTAATGGATTTCTCACAATCAAAAGATACGTAGACGACAGCCAATTATTAACGATATATTAGGTACTCAGGTTACTTTACTTTTTTGTCAAAGGTCAAACTATATATAAATGATCTCGTCTGTTGCCATTTGCTAGTTCATCCTTCGGACTATATAGTTCAGTTAGTAATACTGTGGATATCTAGCTTGCTGAGTAAATTAGAGTTTCCACATATCACTACAGAAGTTAATATCTCTTTACTTCAATTCCCAGAATCATGATAACATCTGACATCTGAAGTGAAGAAACAGTTTATGTGATTTTTTTATACATTAACCATTATTCTCAGTACGGAGTAAACCCTGACGAACGTCTAAACTGGGTTATTGAAGGATTCTCTCGGATACAGGAGGCACAAACGCATACACGCATAGGACCCTACCCTTTGTCACGTCTGATGCCAATGTTCTTCGAGGACTACTTCCTTTATTGGGGTTCTTTGAAGACAGTGAGAAACGAAAGCTACGTGGTTAGATGGCTCATTCCAAGAATTACTCTATTTGCTTCATTAGATCAGGTAACGTATAATGTTTTAAAACAATTTGCACTTTTCGTGTGGTCGTATTCTTTACAGATATTATCACTATCATTAATTATATTTCTTCTATTCACGTCTTTATTTTCGGAATTCTCCAAATCGTTTTGCACTCAATAGAAACTCGTTTCGTAATTATAATACTCAGAATATTATAAGAAACGAGTAAGAGAATTACAGTTAATACAAAAGAACACGCGATAGAAAATTATATGTTAAGCTCTCTGGCCAAGGTGGTACATATTATATAAAGGTATATCACTTTACCGAGCTCTATAGTATGAAAATTTTGAACTCAGCAATGTAACTACTATATCTTGTCCTTCAAACCGAAACATAGCATGCAAGAAATATTCCTTGTATCAAACATGTATTGAACAAAAAACGAAGGTACTCATTAATACAACTTTTTTTCAAGTCAGGAGTAAGAGTTAGTAGGTGAATAAAATCTTACATGTATTGTTTAATTATTTTATAAATAGATAAACGAATTCCGCAAACTATGGAATCCCTGGGACGAGCCGAACTTAGGCAATTGCAGACCGCTACAAGAAGCAGCCGATCGCCATATTTTCTTTATTAACCCGCATTGGAATCAGTATAACTCCTTATTGCCTATACCGAGATTACCAGAACCCTCCATATCAGTTTTATCTCCGGCTTATGAAGAACATCTTTGGTTACTGCCCCCTCAAAATGCCTATATGCTGCCACCGCCTGAAGAAACTCCGAATAAAGAAGAAATCCCTAAAACTGAAGAACGATAGATAGATAGATACTTATTACACATTATATTTGTTTATCTCAGCAAATGCAAACAGCAAACAAGCTAAAAACCTAATGGAAATTAATAAAAGTTGCTTATAAACATGAATATCACTCCTTATATGTTACAATTCCTGAACCTGACGCAGGTGTTATGCCTATATATCCTGTAATATTGTTGCCATATCCCACATTGCACATCGAAATATATCTATGTAAGCACAACTGCTTGATATCAGAAATACAATTGGAGCAAATATCCCCATACAAACGATTATTCTACAGTTTCCCTCTGCAAATTATTAACACCACTGTTAGTATTCATCGGTAGAAAAAAAGTCATCAATCAACTGTGGTCAAAACTGAAATGAATTTAAATACTAATGAAACAAATTTACAACAGTATTCCATGGAATATATATGTGTGTACACCTTTATATATTCGGTGTAATACATTACAAAATTTTTAGAGTGCGAAACTTTCTTCAGTTGCTCTTTTATTATATTGTATTACCTACATTAAAAATAACGTAACTACAGAATAGATAATAATATCCAAGATCTACGCTATCTTTAAACGTAATGATCAAATGCTTAGTGGTTTCCTCAAATAGAGCATAGACTTATATATACAGACATAATATATTAGGGTCGTAACAATTTATTTCAGCATTTGAATCGGGACAAAGCATTTTGAATCTTACATGCTACGCGAAACAATACCTATCTATATCAATGGCGACCATTGAATCAAATGGCGTTGTCCGGCAATTTATTGAGGTATTGGCTTACCAAAACCTCCCCAGGGATCGATTGACATTGAATGGCTATCATGCCCCTATAATTTCGGTAAAGGGCGCTGAAAACGAAAGCGCGTAAAGTTTCACTACTCTGTAAAGCAATATCATAATATTATAATTTCAATAGATAAATTTCTTATAGAAATTAAAATGGAATAGTTTCTCCATCTGCGCTATTAGCATACACTGATGAGGTATCAGTGAGGAAGGACGAATGAGAATACAGTCAGGTCAGTGTAGGCCAATGCCTATCGTGATGTGATGGATTGATCATAGTTTCCAGGGATAACCATGTAGGTATACTGCTAACAATCTCCTAATTACTAACAATACTTTCCCAGTATATAAGGTTATATTGTTTAACGGAAAATAACTGAAATATGAATTACATAATCGTGATCTAGATATGATTATGGTTTATAACTATATTATACTTTCCCTAAGAAATCCCAAATGATATCCATAAACAATATAAATGCCTAGGTAATTGCGTCACTCCACTTCAAGTGACTCTTCAACCTTCGTCAAATCGACGACGCAGTTTCGAAAAACTCGCGATAAATTTTATGTACGTGGTCGTACCCTATTAAACTCCCAGCTATTCTTTATCGGCCTTCTGTATTTGTGATGGAAAACTGTGTGCACCATTCCAGCAACCATTGCACATTTATGAGACTTTTTTCGCAAAGCATAGGATGAAAAAGAAAGTGCCGAAAATACTTACGTGATAAACACAAATTTGATATCTGTCATGAATATGTTAATACTTTATAAAATTTTATTAAAATATATTTTTATCTTTTTATTTTATTAGATTTAATATACTTTTTAACTAAAAATATTTAATTATAAAATATAATAATTAATTACAAATATTAATTGTATTTAGTTTAATACTTTTAGTTTATTTTTGTAAAGATTTCATCACAATATCGTATGAAAGCACTTTAAAAGTTTAACCATTTTTTTATATACTAAAATATAAATAATTTTACTTTTTTAAACCATCATCGAGTATCTCTGTACATCCTAAAGATTGTTTATAGCATTAAATCCGTTTTTTCGCATTTCCGATCGAGTCTTTTCCCAAGTGTCTACCTATAATGCAGCATTAAGAAATGTATGATAATAGTGTATTTCAGAAAAAAAAAATAACTACACAAAAAATCAAGCAGTTGAAATTCAAAATAGGTATACTATTTTACAGAATTAGGTGATATTTTGTAGAAATAATATCACTATATTAATTGTGATTATTTTGTTTAATACTGCACCAAATTGGATGCAATTTTACAGTCGTGTTTCTGAAGGTCTAATTTAATATATGATGTATGTGTAATCTTGATACGCCATCTAGTGGTCCATTTCATTAGTTTTCCTACTTCTGAAATCCTCGAGTACAAAGTAGCAGGCAAAAAGTTAGTTACTCATAAATCCATTAATTATACTATGAAGTAACAAAACCTATTACAGTTAAATGAAAGCTGAGCCATGAAAGCAAGTCCATGAGTGGGAACGAGAAATCGGACGTTGCTATCTCATTCTATCTCTTGGATTCACTACTGATAACGATTCTATCATTGGATTCGCTCGCCACTTGTCTAGAGAGTCTGGTATAAATTAGGATAAGAAATTATTATAACTGTGAAACAAGAATACTGCCGGGTTGTTTTCTTTAAATAGAATACTAAATGAAAAAAAATATTCGAAGTGAAAAATAGAAGAGCTCTATATCATTGAATTTTCACGTATAATAAAGTATTTTTAATACTTGGTTATAATTTCTGTTTCTCCCAAAAAGGTCACTGTTACTTGCTACCTTGATAGTACCTACATAATAGGTATCTACATGTTAAGTCGGCAGCACTGTTGACACGCGATAGCATGCAGTTGGCTCATATTCGATTGCGTGTTCACAGATAGATGATAATAATAATAAATTTCAGTCTTAATAATTACAGGAACAAAAATCTTTGTACATTGCTAGTGATTCTGACCAGGTAATATTGACGAACAAACTGATGTTTACGCTATTAATAGTGGTGCCGGTTTTACTTTCTGTATATTTATTAAAACAGCTAAATAACCAATATATTTTTCTCCTTTTTTTCGATATAAAATTAAAATGATAGCAGCAAAATAAAATTGGTTTAGTAAAATAGAGTTTTTGTCTTACCCATTATTCAAAAACGATATTGTCAATGTCAACGTCTAAATACAGCATCAACTGTCAAAATAACAGCAGATTTTAGTAATAGTGATTCAGTATCTAAGTTTCCATTATCGATAATGTTAATAAACAAATAAAGATAAAATCATAATCAAGACGCTTTATATTTTTTTGTTTGCCTTTATCAACTATAAAAACAAATTCTGTTAAAGTGATTTTAAACCCAATACAAATTTCAAAGTTTATTGACATCATATATTAGGTAAAGACTTAACAGATATATGTACCTTATCCTTAAGCATCTTTTCCCAATAGATAATATGCTTTAAAATAATAGTTCGTGATTTCATTGACAGTTAAATTCTTTGTACAAATATGTACATAACCTAAAAAATTGTCATTAAAATTTAAGTCTTCTGTTTCTTCTTAAAACTTATTATTCTTTTCATTTTATTGTTCTTACTTTTAAGTAATCTTATTGTTCTCTAAAATGACTTATTTGGGAAAAAATGAATAAAATCGATAAGTATTATATCTTATACTACATTAAAATACTATTAATATTCTAAAATGGTTTCTACGGACAAAAGTTATTTCGTAAACATTTCATAATTTGAAATTACTAGACAACTAATTTTTTTTTTTTTTCATTTAAAATATTACTAAAGAATTAGTTATTACCAATACAGTATTTTACATTAATATGAACTTGTCTTTTTTTTTTAATTCACCACTAAAATTATTAATATAAAATAATAATCTCCTTTTTTATCTATTTTAAATAATTATCATTTCAACACAAATACAAACAATTATAATAATCTATAACGCACAACACTAGTGCCGTCAGCTGTTCCTTGAGCTATTCTATCTAGCTGTCATTCAATTGTCATAATACGTCCTTATATCAAATCTATCGGTCAACAAAAAATGCTCTTCTAATTTTGGTTAACTGAAATACTTTAATAATTCTTACAAAATGTTTAAAAATATAGTACGTTTTAACCGATGGTTGGTGCGTAAACAAATTTATAGTCGCCCTTATGTGATAGTCCGTCAATATTCACAAGTTTCGAAGTTACAATCTGTAATTAACAATCCTTGTCTCCGGTTATTTTCGGCGAGTAAGAACGTTGAATCACCACCACCGGTGAATCCCGCAGATTTCGAGGAGATTTGTAATGAAACTTTAGAGTCTTTGTGTGAATATTTTGAAGAATTAGTGGAACAATCATCAAATTTGAAGGGTGCTGATGTTACCTATAGTGTAAGTTATTTATGAAAAGTACCTTCATGAATTAATAATTGATGTGTATTTGTAATCATTATGAAATACATTAACACTTTTGTAGCTATATAAATAAACATAAAGGCATATGCGTCTAGGTTATTTATGTAGTAAGGTATGAGTGAAAGGTTATTATAATGAAGAGAAAAAAATTACTGAAATGTTACATGTTTAAGCATTGAATTTTATGCAACTGAGGTGATAAACAAGCAGACGGCCAACTTGATAGTAAGCAGTTACTATAATCTATGGACACCTGCAATACTAGGGGCATTTCTGAAATTTGCATTGCTGACCTTGAAGAAACCTCTTTACCCCTTTTTTGAAGACATGACTGTGATAGATTTTGGACTTAAAAAATCTCAATAAATTTCTTTTACATTTGAACAGTCAAAATGTCTACTGTCACAGATTATCTTTATTGTTTATTATTATGTCATAAACACTTGCAGTATGTCTGTGTATAAATAACTGTATACTGTAACATACAACTTCCTCTGTGTGACTTAATCATCCAGAATAAAAACTAGCCTTATACCCTTCTCCATTTAAAATAGTACATATATATTGAATTTCATAATTATCGCGTGACCTATTAAGGCATTAAGAAGTAAACTACTCACTTTCATATTTAGAATATTAATAAGATAAATCAAATCATAAAGATTTCTTGCCATAAAAAGGTTTCTTCGGGATCGTAACATATGTGTAATACCCCTGGTATTGCAGGTGTTCATAGGCTATGTAAACCACTTACTATCAGGTGGACATATGCTTGTTTGCCACCTAATGTGTAATAGCCATGTAATGTTGAATTTGTGAAAAAATGCATGTTCACTCCCCTGACATAAAACAAGACTGGATATTTTAAAGTACCCTCAGGCACAATATATGCCTCTATCACAGTGGTAAAAAGAAAGTGATAAGTTGAGAGTATTTTACCCAACTAAAATTACATAATCAGATAGAAACCTTGTTCAAAGTCATCTACATGAATAAATCTGTGTACTTGTGAAAGACAAGTCAATGCACAGCTGTGTTGTATGATTGGGGGATGATTGTTAACAGTTGGGTCCTCTGTCCCCATTGCTAGTAATTTTATATATATTCTTTATTGCACTTGTAAATTACATTGTTAATACATTTATAAATGTTGTGAGCAAGGGTGGACTTCCCTCTGACAGAGATCTTTTCCAGTCAATCCAATACAGTTGGAAAGAATGTCATTAGTGGGCAGCTAAAATTTTTTTTTTTATGCAACTTAGAATGGCAAACAAGCTGACGGCCCACCTGATGGAAAGTGGTAACCGTTGCCTATAGACATGAGCAGTACCATGGACATAACAGAGTATACTGTTTCGCCCATGATACCCCCATGCATTGCCATTCCTGAGGACTCAGGTGTTATTCCACTGTACCCAGTAAATTCACGCCATATCCCACCCTTCAAACCAAAACACAGCCATGCAAACACAACTGCTTCACGGTAGAAACACGAATGAGACAGAGGTACCCAAGCAATCGACTTTTGTACAAAGTCTCCCTCTGGTGTAAAGTGCTACAATTATTAATATTCAGTATAGAAATTACTATTATCACTGATACATAAATAAATATAAAATTAAATGAAATATTAAAATATATAATAAAATATTACATAAATACATATACTATAAATAAATATAACACCCACCTACTTATACAATAAGTGTTAAAATAAATAAATATACTACCTACATTAGAAACATAGTTAAATGCTTTAAGATTTGACAGTTCAATCAGATAATTTAAAAATTAAGATTATGACTCAAGAGAAAGAAAATGTAATTACAACATTTTCTTGAAAGAGGTAATAGGACTCTCTTGTGTGTAAAAAGGGAGTTTGTTCCATAATTGGGCAACTTGATATGAGAAAGAGTTGCCCATAAAATGTGTCCTACACAAAGGAAGTTCCAGCATCCTGGACTGAACTTGATAGGAGGATTACATTTACTCTGTTAGCTTGCACTCCATGTGGTCCATCCTGCTACAGTTCATCCATACTGGTTATCAATATATACCTTTAATGATGGTGCAAATACCATTAACACAGGTTTTCATTACATTTTATTGTATAAAAAATATCTTTATACACAGGAGTGGCATACTATAAGAGGTACCATGAATATTATAGTGTTTTCTGTTATGTTTATGGTGCTATTCATGTGTATAGGGGACAATTATAACTTCCTTCAGGTGGACTATTTAATTGTCATGCAAAGATATATATAAAAATAGTTAAAGGATTTTTTTTTAATTTCAGGATGGAGTGTTAACTGTATTTCTTGGTGCAGACTATGGCACTTATGTAATCAATAGACAATCTCCTAATAAACAAATATGGCTGAGTTCTCCTGTGTCTGGACCGAAACGCTATGATTTAATTCCAAAGAATGGAGGTTATTGGGTGTACAGACATGATGGTGTGTCACTACATAGATTACTTCAAGATGAAATATCTAAAATAGTAGAAAACAAAGTGGATTTCAAAAATTGTGCTCATAGTCTAGTTTGAATAAATTCTGGTATACAGTCAATGTAAAATTAATGAACACCAATTGCCAAAACCTGTAAATATTGTTGCATATCTATATAAGTAACTCGACAAGGTGAACACCAGAATTTGATGGACATTCTGTAAAGTACATATATATAGAGGTGTATTATTAAAGTATGAGGTTTATGTGTATCTCAAAGTGCAATATATTACAGCGCCATCTGTTAGTGTAATGTATAACCAAAAATTTCTTGAATATCATTGTGAATAATTACCGATTTTAATATTACTCTAGTTATACCTACTATTATTTGTTTTAACAATTATAAATGTTAATAATACATTGATTGTTAATTGTAACTAAAAGATGCATTTTATTTGTTATCAGATTTGTTAGAAATAGTGTTGTTTATTTTGTAAGTAAATTTTTAGAACATTTTTGTTTGTTTTTTTTTTTATTTCTTTTTAATATCGTCACTATAATCATGGACAGTTATAACAGTTTTATCTAGGGAATTTAGCTTATTTATCATATGTGGTAAATTTTTTATAACTGTAATTTATTTATAACTATATTTTTTTATAACTATAATTTATATAAAAATTGGAATTCTATATATAGTATTATTTAAGACAATTCATTACAACTTTATTTTAATCAACTAAATGTTGTTTGTTAATTTTTTCATTTAAAAAAGAAATCGAATAAATATCCACTTCAAAGGTTAATAAATTTACGGATATTTGACATTTTTTTTAAAAAAAGGAGGTATCTATAACTTCAAGTCAGTTGTTTAGTAAAGTAGGCAGAGAGAACACAATGTAAATAGCTACTCGTAATATCTATTGGTTACCTATTGTAATGGATGTATTTTTTATGGATGATAATGGAATGGTAACCTCGCTTGCACTATCGGTATACGTTGGCGGGGCACCAGTGAGGGGTGATAGGTGAGCAGATGAAGTAGGTCAGTTAGCCCATCGTGACGAATTCAACAAGAATTGTTCACGATGGTTTCCAGGGGGAACCATGTGGAGGTCGACCTAATAAGGCATATTGCTAGCAATAGGGCTGTCAAACTTCATTACTAACAATCCCTTCCCCCCTGAAGCAGGTCAGTTAGCCCACCGTAACGAATCTAACAATAAATCAATCACGATGGTTTCCAGAGCGAACTACGAGGAGGTCGACCTGACGGAGTATATTGCTAGCAACGGGGCTACTAATCCCCATTACTAACAATCTCTTCTCCCCCCAATATTTGCTGGTTAGGCCACCAATAAACTCTGTGTTTTTATGTGGCATTTTTTCTCGTGAGTGTCGTAAGAGCCCAACGTGACGAGTTCCACAATAATTAACTACGATGATTTACAGAGAGAGCCGTGTGGAGTTGATAGGCTATATTATTAGCAATGGAGCTGTTAGGTCCCATTACTGACAGTACCTTATAATAAATTGGCTATTCATATATATGAATATATACATGAATATAAATGGTGGGATATGGCAGTGAATTTACCGAGTACAGAGGAATAACATCCGAGTCCTCAGAAATGGCAACGTATTGGAGGTATCATGGGCGAAACAGTGTACTCTGTTGTGTCCGTGGTACTGCTCATGTCTATAGGCGACGGTTACTACTTTCCACCAGATGGGCCGTCAGCTTGTTGCCATTTAAAGTTGAGTAAAAAATAATGTGTCCTACTGAACCGAATAGATGCGAATACATTTCGTACCAGCCAAATACCTGGTACTAATTTAATCAATAAATTCTACTCTGATGTTTAGCTTCAGTCCATGTCTGTATTACATAATTTCTTTCGCGTAGCTCCTTCGTCTGTTTAATTTCTAATTCTATATTTTGTGTTTTATTTAAATTAAAATATAAATAAAGAGGAAAATAAATACTGCTAGAATACTTTATGTATTAACAGTGAACTTCTTATCTGTGTTTATAAATAATGCTTACGTGTAAGTTGATATATAAACCTAAACTTATTTATTTTTTAAAGGTTTTTTTGGAAGATTAATAGTATTTAGTGAATACAAAATAGGCAAGTGTGTCTATAATAATATAATTTGTTGATAATTTATTAAGTACTAAGTTGTTAATAGATTTTGTTTGCTAATAGTTTTATGTTTTATATTTAAAGTGTTTCATTTCAGGACTAAGTATTCGTATGCTATTTGTCGTAAAATATCCAATAAAAATATTTATAGTCAAGTAATATTTTGCATTAATACCTATTTGTGTACACATCGCTAAAACATTATAAATAATTAAAATGGAGGTCATTGAAGATGGAAATATTATGGATCGTATCCCCATTTTGTTGCAAAGAGATTTGGAATATTATCAGGTGAGTACATGTCATTAATAATTTTATAATAATGATTCCTTAGATATAAATGATTATAACTATATAAAGAAATCCAAAAAGGAATGGACTGTGTGAAATGTCATTCTTGACATAGTCTAGCTATGTTGTCACTGCAAATGAAGACGAACAAGAAAAGATATCACATCATCTTCATTATATGTCGTTCTCTGTCTACTGTTGGACATAGACCTCCTCCGTAGACTGTTATAAGTAACGGTTCCAAGCCACAAAAGATATTACGCCGACCCAAAATGAATTTATTGTACTAATATTTATAAATGAAACTAACTATCTGTCTGTATGTTTGTTCTAATATCATGCAAAAACTACTGCACCAAATTGAATGTGGTTTTCACAGGAGTATTCCGCAAGATATAACTTAAAATCTAGTGTGTATTTTGTCTTAAATAACCCATCTAGACTAAGTGGTCTACTTTATTGTTTTTTTCTTACTAAAAACCACGTATATGTAGTTTCGGATTTTTTGCCCGAAACTTTCTAGTTCATAGCATAAAGGCAATTAGATGATGAATTTATTAAATTAAATAAAAAATTTATTGATTTTTCATATAAAATTAAAATATGAAAAATACTACGACATATATGTCATATCTAATAGAAATCAAATAAATACTTAGATAAGTATAAAATGGACTTCAGAGAAAAATCTTTGCGTAAATGTTAAAAGATGTTATAATTTTTTTTTATATTTTTTTTTGGAAATTAACAAATAATATAAACGTTGTCAAATCCGGTATCATGCTCTTAAATATAAATAATTCTCTCCCTTTGTGTTCCAGAAAAATCAGACTGTATTATCAGAAACTGTGTGCCCAGGTGTGGTGGGAGGTAGATTGGACTTTCCAAGGAATGCTTCTTTTGCGGCGGTGAAAATAGTCCTATGGCTTGAAGAGGAGTTCTCTATAGCATTCCAGTAATTCTATTATACAATTCAATATCATAATATAATAAATGACATCATTTGTGTGTGATTCTTTTCGCTTCTGAAGTGAGGTCTAAGGTGTTATGAATAAATATTAATTAATATAATGAAACACAGCATAACGCCATCTAGTCCCAAACTAAGCAGAACTTGTACTATATATATGTTTATTAGACAATTCATATCATAGATTATGGATAATACCTGCGGTTCTATTAATATAAAAAAAAAATACTCTTTTGTAAGTATAGAATATATCCAGTTACAATGACGATTATGATCAATATTCTAGAGTATAAAAAGGTTTTGTATAAACTTTAAATATTGTGACGTCATAAGGAAGGAACAGTCTCTCAATACAGTTATTGGCTCCTAGTTTGTGGTTCAGAGATTTAAAAAACATGTCTAAACACTAGATGTATTTAGACATGTTTTTCTAATTACGTTTACATATATATACTTGCTTATTTCCGATATCTATACATATGAAATCCCGAGCAAAGGTTTGTTATAAATAAGCATTTTATTTAAACAGGCATGGATCGGGAATGTTTGTCATGACTGAAGATGATGACAACCGCGATAGCGGCGTGGCGAAGACTTCGGACCCTGACAAGTTTGTTCAGCTGGCCATCAAATCCAGTAACTTATTACTAGGTATGATATGAAGTATATATTTGTGCTGCTACTAATATTATAAACTAGCTATATTTCACGACTTAGACCGCGTGATCAGTACATAAAGTATCTTATGAGTTAACTTGGGATATATTCCACCTGTGTATCAGATTTCATTCAAGCCTCTTTAAAAGTTTTTGCATGAAAGAGTAACAAATATTCAATCATTCATTCATCCTTTTTAATTTTGAGCATTTATAATATTAATAAGATACGAAAGTATTTTACAAATTGAGTTTTGGAGGTTTGTTACTCAATCCCTCTTAAACTGCTGAATGGATTTGATTCAAAATTTGGTATGTAGATAGACGCTGCTATGGAGTAATAAATACCTTACTTATACTTTCGATTTATTTACGTTTACATTTTAAATGTAAATAGCCATGAGACATATATCAGACACCTTAATTATCATAATAAAACTCTTGATTTTATTGAAGAATATGATAATGGGCAATAGTGAAATCATGTCCTTGTATTTCTATATTAAATAAAAGAGTATAATAGAAACGGTCCCAAAGGTTGACTCTGAATTCTGTTATTTTTAAAAGTATAGATTGTCTAGGATAATATGGCACGCTCCTCCAAAAACCAAAGAACTAAAAATATATGAGTAACAATATTTACAAGATTTTGACCAAGGAATGAAGACGTCTCCTCACAACTACAAACAGAGCACCACGTCTGTATAAGGTCACACACATTGAAGTTAAAAGTTGAAGAGGCTTGCCAAGTTAACGTAGACAATTTTGGAAATCCATTGTCATATCTCAAATCGCAACCCTGTATGTAAGCAAGCTGTTTAGTAGCAGAATTAATATGCAAGACAAAAATCTTTATTAATTAACTTTATACTTTTTCTCTCTGGTAATAACGTATATTATGCTCTGATAGAACATCTACATATGTTGGTGCAAGAAGCGCTCGACCATGCCGACCTTCCAGTACTAACCGCCACGTTAGGAGCGGCAGCCCTACTGAAGAACAGTCTCTTCTGCTATGTACAACATGCCGAGGACATGGGCAGTCCTGAGAGGGTGTCTTCTTTGCAGGTAATGTATGAGATAAATAAAAAATAATTTTCTACCTTGTAACCTAGAATTTGTTTATATTTTTGTAAGAATAACATATATAATACATCATCATTACCATATCTGCCGTTAACTAGGACATAGGGCTTGGGAGGCTTTGCCAGTGGTTGCTACGCTTGGCAGGCAGATTAAAAACCACAAGCTTTATTGATGTTATAAATTTCTTAGTCTCCTCTTACGACACTCACGAGAAAATATGCCACATTTTTATGTGACAACACAGTGTTTATTGGTGGCCTAACCAGCAAATATTGGGGGAGAAGGGATTGTTAGTAATGGAGATTAGTAGCCCCGTTGCTAGCAATATACTCCGTCAGGTCGACTTCCTCGTGGTTCGCTCTGGAAACCATCGTGATTGATTTATTGTTAGATTCGTTACGGTGGGCTAACTGACCTGCTTCATCCTCACCTATTATTCCTCATTGGTGCCCCGCCGGTGTATACCGATAGTACCGGTGGGGCTACCATACCATTATCATTCATTAAAAAAAAACAGTATATATTGACAAACCCTCCAAGACGGGGAGGACTAAATCCAGCAGAGCTGCAGACAGTTGACGGCTGAATGATGATGAAAATGATATATGTATATTCTAGGCCTGTTACAAGCGCTACGTGACGATGTCTGAAGCTGTCGCCGAGCGGGTACTGGATTTGCACAACCGGGTGTTGTCGCTGTACATCCTGCAGGACTCGGGCGGGAGGCCCATCGATGGGAACACGAGGACTGTCCACCAGGCCGGCACTCCTTCCGTGCAGGGCTGGTGGCTTTATATGAATGGTTAGTTATCTTCTAGACATGTTATAAACCCCGATGTCTCATTTAAGACTTTGACGACAAACTATTATGGTTGTTTTTGATTTGGAGAATGTGATATGATAGTAAAATTATTGGGTACAGAGGAATATACCCTGTCAAGTTGATTTTTACACAGTCCTTTGTCTGGGAATTCTGGTAGTTCAAGTAATATGAATTCCTTTTCATCTATTGTCCTTTACGGAGTCTCCACCGATGTTTTTTTTTTATACAACGTAGAATGGCAAACAAATTGACGGCTCACCTGATGGAAAGTGGTAACCATCGCCTATAGACATGAGCAGTACCATGGATATAACAAAGTATACTGTTCCGCCCATGATACCCCCCATGTGTTGTCATTCCTGAGGACTCAGATGTTATTCCTCTGTACCATGTAAATTCACGCCATATCCCACCCTTCAAATCGAAACACAGCCATGCAAACAACTGCTTCACGGTAGAAACACGAATGGGACAGAGGTACCCAAACAATCGAATTTTGTACAAAGTCTCCCTCTGGTATGATATAGGATAGTCTATGTATTACTATAACTTTGATTATATATTTATATATATATATATATATTTATTAAAATACACACACATCACATGTTACAGGGAGTAGAAAAGATTTGTGGGACACAGTCCCGCCAAGGATGGCGCAGAGAATTTTCGCAGGAATGCTCAATGAAACGTTAACTATATTGACTGTCAGATACTGCCAGGTAAATATAATACTTGTAAAACTATTAATTTTAATATTATTATTATATATAATATATAATTTTATTATTATTTACTTCCTTTCCTTTTCACGTCATTAAATAATGACGTGAAAAGGAAAGGAAGTAAAAATTTATTTATTCATAGACACATGCGACTCACACAGTAACATAAATAAAACATCGTCTGGGGTTATGTTCGCCAAATGTACATAGATTTACACTGTGCATTGAAGTTTATATAAATAAATATATAAAAAAAAAAAAAACTAAGTGTAACAATATTAGATACAAGCCAAAACAAAAAGAAAGGAAAAAAAAAATAGTAAATATAAAAAAGCACGTACCTGGTCAGATGAAGTCTAAATTTAAAGTTATACAAATAAGTGCAAGTGTATGCGTGTCTGTGTCGCAATGTTCTATAAACTAGACCTATGGTCAGCTTGTTAAGACATTACGGTGATTTTCAGCACAATATATGGCGTCCCAGGTAAAAGATTAATTCTCGTAATATATATATAAATATATATATATATATATATATATATATATATATATATATATATATATTGGTAATGTAAGAGAGACAAAATATAGTAACGTGTATGTATATTACAGTAAGTTAGACAGTTCATTTACGTACTTACCATGGGTTTGAAAGCCTATTTTTATATTCTGAAGTTCTCTTTTAATTATTATTATATCAGTCGTTATCTGTCCACTGCTGAACATAGGCCTTCCCTTATTGGGCGGTTTAACTAGTAGTTGCCACGCATAGTAGGTAGGTTCGCAACCGCTGTCAGGTTCCGATGATGTTTTAAGAGGGACGCTGCTGCCCATTCCTCGAAAATTAAGTTTTCGTGGTCGCCTTTTACGATACTCAGACTCAGGAGAAGGTTTATTGTTCAATCAGTTTACATCTTAATACAATTTGGACAAAAAAAATTAAAAATATGACTGCTACATTTAAAAAAAAACTATATCTATGTTATTTCAGACGAATACAACCGAATCAACAACACCGCTGCTTTTAAATGACATCCTAAACATTTTACTATGCGTTGCGCAACTGTTGCCATCGATATGCACCAACGGTTCAGACTTGGCCGGTTTGGAGGTGAAGCAACAAACAAGAGACGTCAGGGATGTCCACGCTAAATGTAATGAACTGTTCAAATGTTTGGTATACAGAGGAGCTGAACTGCACTTTATTCATCAGGTAATAAGACACAAATTAGCATCACATGTTTAAGATTCGTTTTCGCCGAAAGCATTGATATAAGACGATGTAGAGGGCAGGACTATGTACTATGCTACTGTACAGTAAACCATATCAGACGTTTCGTGTATAGTGGATCCGACGTAGTAATTGGACACCAGGGGGCGCCATACTCGCGTAAATAATAGTAGGGATCATAATATAGCTATATTAGACGACCTTTGTGACACGATGGTGGGCACATTCAATTATGGGTCTAAATTGGTTTCTTGGTCAGGTCAGTAAATAATAAGTCTGGAATAACATCTCAGACCATTGAGATTTTGAGGCGACTCATTCCCGAAAAAGATGCAGAAAGCGGTGATCTTAGATACTGTCGAGCATACTAAGTCGATTTCTCTCTCTGAGGCACTGAACACCGGTCGACTGTGCTTCTGTTGGGGGTTAGTTTGCCATCTGCTCTCTTTAAGAGAGGAGATGTGAATTTTCTTTAAAAAAATATGCAATAGAAAATACAAATGCATTACATAAGATACATATTTAGAATACTTATCGATTCTGTGTAAATGATAATCCAGCTCAAAGATCTATTTTGTCCTTTTCGATCGCTGTGTTTACGTATTATTTATTTATTATTTATATTTATATATGTAGGTACTGAATGTACCCGTGACATCGTCCACTTGATTACGATCAAAATATCCATTTATACATAGAAATTTCATGACATTTGGTTCAGCCATTAAAGTGTCAAGTAATCACAAATTGATACATTTATAGTTAACGATTTTATGCACAAATTGCATTAGAACTCATTTTGTATCGATCAAAATAGAATTAGTGACCTTAGTCTCTTGGGATAGTGTAAACCAGACTTTCATAACTCCTTTTTAATTCTTACTCCTTTTTTCTTTTGCCTTTAAATATCAAACAAATTTGATTTACAGGTATTCAAAGACCAGGAAGTGACTGAATCGACCAAAAACAGCCCGTACCCGTGGTTCATATTCGTTAGTCCAAATCTCTTCGCTAATAATCTAGATGACGTCAGATTGACCACGCAAGAGTTACCAGACAAGACTGGAATAGGATTGGAGCTGTTAGTGCTGTTAGCACAACCCCAGCCGTCTTGGCCTTTAGTGGTCAAGGTATGGAAGTTTTATTACAACACTAGCATTTACCTGCGACTTTGTCCGCGTGACTGCGATAAAAAGTAACCTAGGTCCTTCACCATACCTTATAGTATGTATATACCAAATTTCATAGTGATTGGTTAAGCCGTTAAGACACCAAGAGGTAACAAACAGATTTACTTTCACATTTATAATATTAGTAAAAATATCTCAGTCTAGTGCTTAATCGGAAACCATTCCAATTCCATACTTCCTGGAAACAATCGTGATTAATCCTTGTTAAATTCGTCACTGTGGGCTAACCGACCTGCCTTCATCCTCACTTATCATCTCTCACTGGTGCCTCGTTAGCGTATACCGATAGCGTAGGCAGAGTTGCTATTCCATTATCGTCTAGAAAAAAAGTCATGATTCCTGCAAGACTGTTTGGAAACTTTTCACCCATAAAAAATGTAGCTTAATTTCTTATTTGTATTTCTTAATTTCTTTAATTTCATATATTTAACTGGGATAAAGTTAATTTAGAATGCGGAATTTTGTAGATATAGGACACTCGATCGATCACATCCTGTTAATTGCAAAAAGAATCATCAAACCTTTTTTTTTAAATTAGCAACTTAATCGTGTAATACCACAAAAAGAAATACAGACGAGTTGGGAACCTCCAACTTTTCAAACGACTTTAAAAAAAGAAGATTTATGTTTGTTACCTCAAATCTTCAACATTGTTAAACCGATTTGAAAAATTCTGTTTTTATCTGAAAAGATTTTTATCTGTCAGAATGATCTAATAGAAATTTTATCAAAATCGGTTTAGTAGTTTAGTTTTTAAATATAAATAATTGGTTTTGTCATTAGTTAAGTAAATTAATTCCAAATCTTTATCTATATTATTTTCAGGCGCTAATGATGCGTCAATGTCATTTATCCCGGATGTTACTAATACACGCCGTGAGGCACAGCTCGATTGATAACTCGCGGTGGCCAGCGAACGGATTATGGTACAGTGTGGATGGAAAACAGAGGAAATGCGATGGCTTTTTATGCACGGCTGATGGGTTTTGTAAATTTAAACAAGATAACAACGGTTAGTGTTGTTTATTGCTAGAAATATTTCTTCTTGTTTAAAGAATGGATTGGCAATACATGGGCACTTAATTTTTTTTACCACCATACCAGTGTCTATCTATCTATCCTATTTAAAACCTGCGCTCTTGTCAGTGGAGCTCTTGCCACTCATTACGATTTTCAGCGTTGTGACATGGCGTCAAACGACCGCCATCTAATAGGTCTTTCCCTAACGTTGGCCAGTGGCAGCGCTAGTACTGGCAGAGGGCCGAAGAAATTATTTTGGGAAGGGCCTTTGACCAGATATCAGCAGACAGGTAACTCTGGCTGGTGTACCACGGTGTGGAAGGTAAATGGGGAAACCACCACACAAATTTCCCTAACAAATGGAGCACACATACTTGTGTATTTAGTAATAATTTTTTTTGTACTGTTTACGTCTATAGATGACCGGTATCACTTTCAATCAGGTATACCCTTAGCTTGTTCGCCCTTCTATGTAAATTGTCTGTGATAACATGACATGTTCTCTCTAAAATCTAAAGAATTAAAAAATGTGTGAGTAGAAGGTTTTTTTTTTTTTTTATACCACTGTGGTGGCAAACAAGCATACGGCCCACCTGATGGTAAGCGGTTACCGTAGCCTATGAACGCCTGCAATACCAGAGGTATTACGCGCGCGTTGCCGACCCTGAAGAAACCTCTTTACCCCCTTTTAGAAGAACCCCATGCTGTAGTCTCTCGGGAAAACCTCGGCAGGGAGCTCATTCCATAACCTGAGTGTTCGTGGGAGAAAGCATCTCTGAAACCGCGTTGTACGCGACCATTTAGGCTGTAAGGTATGAGGGTGAACTCCCTGTCGATGGCGAGCCGTACGATGATAGAAAGTGGCCGTAGGCATCATATTGAACAATTCCTCTGAGCACAATCCGTTGTATAAGCGGTAGAACACGCAGAGTGAGGCAAAATCTCTCCTAAGACTTAAGGGTTCAATACCGCTTGCAAGCATGGGATCATCGACAATTCTCATAGCTCGCCGTTGCACTGAGTCGAAGGGTTCAAGCTGGTATCTAGGTGCTCCCGCCCATAAGTGACAGCAATACATAAATTGTAAAGCATTAATCGTTGATCCGGCGTGAAGTAATGCTTCGCTCTATTGAGCACACCGAGTTTTTTAGATGCCAGCTTCACCTTATCTTCGAGGTTACGGAACTGTACGTCACTAGAGATGTCGACACCAAGGATCCCAATGCTTTTAGAGATGTTAAGAGACGTGCCTTGGAACTGTGGGGCCACAGCAAATGGGGTTTTCTTAGCGGTGAACGCGCAAGCTTGTGTCTTAGAGGGGTTAAATTGGACCAAGTTTTGTCGTCCCCAATCAGAGACTCCAGTTAGTGTTCTCTCGATTTCAGACACAAGCTGTTCACGATTGTTCTCCACGATGGAACGGGAGACATTGGTACGACCCGTATAAAGGGCATCCCCGGTGCTGTCATCCGCATAACAATGAATGCTATCGAAGGTTAACATAATTAATATGCAGTAGAAACAGCGTTGGGGACAGCACAGAGCCCTGCGGGACGCCAGCGTTAATATCCATGCTATCGGAGCAGCAACCATCTATAACGGTTTTTATACGTCTGCCGGATAAAAAAACTGGCGACCCATTTACAGAGGCTGTCGGGAAGTCCATAGTAGGGCAATTTCGATAGAAGACCCCGATGCCAGACCCGGTCAAATGCCTTTGCAATATCGAGACTGACAGCGAGCGCCTCACCCTGACTCTCAATGGCTGATGCCCATCGGTGCGTAAGATATACCAAGAGGTCACCAGTTGAGCGACTATGGCGAAAGCCATATTGGCGGTCACTCAATAAATCGTGATCCTCTAGGTATTTTAACAGCTGTACGTTAACTATACGCTCCATCACCTTAGAGAGAAGGGAAGCGATCGCAATCGGTCTGTAATTTGAAGGGTCCGACTTATCGCCCTTTTTAGGTACAGGATGTACAAGGGTGGTCTTCCATGTCGAAGGAAATTGCCCTGTGGAGTACGAGATCGTGAAGAGACGCGTTAGTACAGGACACAATTCCGGAGCACACTGCTTTAGGACCACTGCCGGTATACCGTCTGGCCCACTCGACTTATGAACATCTAAGGATAGTAACTCCCGCCGGACTTTACATTGTGTTATAGTAATTTCCGGCATGGAGCTTCCGCAACACAAGATGGTAGGTGGTACAGAATTACCTTCGTCCATAGTTGAGTTAGAGGCAAAGAGAATGCCAAATAAGTCGGCTTTCTCTTTAGCACTGTATGGATTTCGGTTTCCGAAGTGGTGGAAAAGACGACTGACAAAAGTTTCCTTGGGCAGCTTTAGCAAGCGACCAGAAAGCACGATTACCAGAAGGAAGGCTTGATAGTCGCCTACCAATTCTGCCCACAAATTCAAATTTGGCTTTTACTCTCTTACTGCATAGCAGCATTTAATTTCCGCTTTGCATCACTGATTCCAGGATCAGAGTTAGTGCGAGCCGTAGTCCAAGCCTTGTATGCAGCTTGCTGAGCAAATCTGGCTTTCTTACAAGACCGGTTAAACCACGGACGCTTCTTCGATCCCATTGCCACTAGCGGGTTGGGGATAAATAGCTTCATACCTTCAATGATAGCCTCGCTAACGGCAATTGCGCAGTCGTTAGGATCATGTGATGCAAAACAAAGCTGCTTCCACGGGTACGATGCATAAAATTCTCGCAATCCATCCCAGTTTGCTGACTTAAAGTGCCACACGCGACGTCGTCCAATAGGACGGGGTGGATCAGGTCGAGTGTTGGGGACATCAGCCCGGATAAGACAATGGTCGGATGAGCCAATTGGCGCATCCACTCTGACGGTGTATCCATCCGGGTGTGTTGTCAGCAGAAGGTCCAGCAAGGAGCTTGTATGGTTCTCTATATCTGGTATTCTCGTTGGAGAATGAACCAGCTGAGAGAATCCATAGGTAAGAGCAAATTCATGAGCAGCTTTTCCCGCGCAGTTAGTGGACCGAGAACAAAGCCACTCGGAGTGGTGAGCATTAAAGTCTCCAAGTATCACTAACTCCGCAGAAGGGTACTGCTCGAGAACCTTATCAATCGTCGTTTGCAGGTGCTCAAAAAGACGGAAAGTGTCCAGATCACCGCTGTGAGACCTGTAAAGGCACGCGTAAATACGAGTGTGGCTCCCGTAATCCACACGTATCCATAATACTGACAGGTCTCTGTCTTCAAGGCCATGGAGACGGCGGTAACAGACATCCGTCCGGATATACATACAAACCCCGGCATGACGAACAAATTTATGCTCGAGTTTGTAACCGGGGTATAGTAAGATGTATCAGCCGGACATGATATCTGCGTCTCGGTGAGGAATAACAGAGTCGGCTTCGCAGTTTCGAGATGACAGTGAATTGCGTTGATGTTAGAATGAATACCTCTGATATTGCAGAAGTCCACTGTAAATGTGGATGAGGGTGCCGCTGTGTAACGTCTATTTTTTTTAGATCTGGCCATAAAGTGTTAGGGTATTTGGAGGTTAATAGGGAAAGATTGTGCCGATATCAAAGGAACAAAGTGGTGTCCACTCCGTCCCTGCGCTAAACAGGTTGTGCAAATTACCGACGCGGCGGCCGGAAGGGCCCCCGGTCCCCCCACTGATGTAGTAGCCGGGTCCACTCCGGTCTCCTCCTCCGGCATGACTACCACACCAGGGATTATGCACAGGCGGCGGTTCAGCCTCCCAGGGCGGAGATTAGGTAATCCCTGGGTTCGGGAACCCAACAACCTGCGGGCGGCCAGCGAGCAACCGTTTCACCGGGTCTCCCTGAACGCCGCGTCAGCACTTCGCGTCTGCCCAGCACAAAGACAGTATTAAAACACCTGGTCCCTCCGATATCGGCACAACCCCTCCCCAAGATGGAACTGGATACCTTACTCACCGCAGGAACACAACGCTATAAAAACAGCGTTGTTTGGCTGCGAACTTCTGCAAGGTGGAGGTCCTTCCCCAGGCGGGCGGTTCCGTTTATGAGCGAGAGTCCCGCTATGCCCTACCTCTCTTAGAAGGTTTCGACCAAGGAGTATAATACTCCTCTGGCTGGGCTGCTACTGAAGACGTTTCCTCACAAACACAAACAGAACACCACGTCTGTATATGGGCACACATGGTGAAGTTAAAAGTTGGAAGGGGTGCCATGTTAACCCTTCTTTGCATTATTTTTTTTATTGGCGAAATAAATCAAAGTGATATAATTCATGTTCAGAGTTAAAGGACAAATGGTTAAAGAAATAAATTTGACAGCTATGTTTTTTTTTTCTGCAATGGACATTTAAAAGGTATCCAGACACGATCAACTTAAACTCGTTCTTTTATATAATTTTTGGATATTCAAATTATGATGGGAATTTCCACCATTATGCAAAGAAGGGTTAACGTAGGTAATCTATAGAGTCTTTCTGCTCGGTAATAAACATAGAACATTCACGTTATGGGAGGGAGGACATTTTTATTTATACTTATTAATGGATTAGCAAATCCACTTTTTTTTTACAACACAGGGGGCAAACGAGCATGCGGCTCACCTGATAGTAAGTGACTACCGCCGCCTATGATCACCCACAACACCAACGGCATTGTAGGTGCGGATCCAGGCTTTTAAAAAGGAATATGCTCTTTTCTTGAAGGGTATGATGTTGTATCGGTTCGGAAATACTGCTGCTGGAAGTTGATTCCAAAGAGTGGTTGTTATTCCATCTTTCGGTAACATGGTATCAGTAAAATATGATAGGTAAGTATGAAGTTAGGCTAGTTGGACCATGTCTATAAACATATATATAATAAAACGATACCCACAGGAAAGGAATAAATGGCTCATTGTATGCTGGGACTACACGTCAATTTTATAGCTTACTGAACCATTATTATTAAAGATTGTTATTTAACTATATTTTGTAGCTGGGGAAGAGTATGCTAGAGCTGCGGGAGCATTGACCTATATTTTGGCATCAATCGGCAGTAAATCAGAACTAAAGTCTACACTTTGCTACGCGCTCGAAATCTCTGGGAGAGATTGGTCTGCGTGTTTGGACAAACGACAGGTCAGAAATCTAATACTTATTTGGTCTTGTTCTCTTCACGATATTTGCATGATGTTAGTGTCTTTTTTTCTGGTTTAGAGGATATTCCGATTGTTCATTTTTCAACTTTTTTTTTTTCATTTAGTACAATATACTATCATTATCTGGTCCAGTGGTCCCGGCACAGAAAAGACCACCGTGACTTTTTCCGTGGGTGTCGTAAGAACTGACTAAGGGAGGGTGAGGGGTAGGCAACAGCGTCCCTCTTAAAACATCTCTAAAACCAGACTGCGGTTGCCAATTCGTCTGTTAAGCATGGCAACTACGAACATAACACCCCAAGAGGAGGCTTATGTTCAGCAGTGGACAGTTAAAGGCTGATATGATGATATGATCATCGTCATCATCATCATATATAATCATCTTAAAATTTATTTATTTATTTACACTTTATTGCACCAAGTAAAAAGAGAAATAACAAATATAGTAAATATTAATGAGAAGTGATACATAAGGCGACCTTGTCGCTAAGCAATCTCTTTCAGACAACCTTTGGGTAGAGGACATTGAGAAAAAGACAAAAATTCCCATAGATATGAATATTTAATACATTAATAATTGTAGGTCTGGTGCGATAGAAGGCCACCATGGCTCGCTGGAATTTTGTCATTAGTTGGATCAGTTCTTCAGTTCTTACCACGAATATTAGTGAATGCTATACAGAGCGGGGCCTCTATGTATCAGGTAAGTAATTTTCTTTTTCTTGTACTAAATTGAACTGATTCGGTATAAAATATCTTTTTTATTAAAATCGGTTAAACAGTTTCGATGATTAGCGTGAATCAACATGATACTTACTTTTTAACTTAAGGTTTCATATATAATCAAGATTGGAAATTTGGCCTTTGCTACCTTATGTCATGTTTATTTTTTATACAACGCCATCTAGTGGTACGAATTGTACTTACAATTTACGAATCAATCGATATATATGGGAATCAGTCATATTAAGTATTACAAAATAGTTTCTTTTAATGATTTTTTTTTAATTAATGTCTTTATGTTTTTAGACGATGTCTCTCTGTTTGACGTGTATATCAAGATCTCTAGATTGCATTCCCCGTACGTTTGTGAACGTATGTTCCATGTTGGAAAAGAGTTTACCCTCCCACATCAACCCTGTGGGGGGCAGTGTGCTGTTGCAAATGCTTATAACTGTAACTTACGAAGAAATGCAAAATTGGGCAAAAGTAGAGGGGATGAAAGAAAAAGTTGGTGAGTGATTTTTCCCAAAACTGAATAGTCTTTGTTTCACACTAGCATAAAAGTAACACATAATATATATTGTCTATGTTCTTTTTTTTGTATTTACAAAGAACTGGAAAAGTGCCTTAAAACTTGTCAGCAGCCAGATGTCGCCACTCTTGCAGTAGTGTTTGTACATAACTGTGCTTTAAATACCATTAATATTATAAGAATATTGATTAATATTTATTTATAATTGTTTTAATTAAGTTAAATTTAATAATCATATTTATGTAAAGGGAACACGCAGCGCCATCTATTATCGCTTTGGGAAGATTCCAGCGCACGCCATATTGTATCCCCTCTCTGATTTCTTCTGTCACTCTCTTTTGTTGTCTATTTCTCGATCCATCCATCTCAACAATAATATATATTTATTAATTTGCGTAATATTATTTACAGCGACATCAGCTGTTAACGGACAACCTCATACAATGAGTGCTGGATCAAACAAACCCAAAAAACATGTGAGAATCGTCAGCCTGGCCAATACAAGTGAGTTCATGAAATAAATTTTAATAACACGTATTGTTTTTCATCAGATGGCTCGTCAGCTTGCTTGCTATTTCGACTAATTCAAACTAAATAAAGAATTTATATATATCGCCGTGTGTGTCCCGGCATAGAATGGGAGGGAGACTTTTTACAAAAGTCGTTTGTTTGGGTACCTCTGTCCCATTTGTGTTTCTACCATGGAGCAGTTGTATTTGCATGGTGGTGTTTCGGTTTAAAGGGTGCATTGCATGGGGGTATCATGGGCGAAACAGTATACTCTGTTATGGCCATAGTACTGCACATGTCTATAGGCGACGGTAACCACTTTCCATCAGGTGGACTGTCAGCTTGTTTGCCATTCTAAGTTGTATAAAAAAAAAACTCTGTTATATCCATGCTACTGCTCATGTCTATAGGCAACGGTTACCACTTTCCATCAGGTGGGCCGTCAGCTTGTTTGCCATTCTAAGTTGTATAAAAAAAAAAAAAAAAAATGTTTTAAACATTTGAAAATGTTTAAAAATAAACATTCAAATTTTTCCAGCTACATCTAGCTCCATAAGTTTTGATGCGACCCATAGTACGCCATCGTCCATAGCCCTTGCTGTAGCCGAAGCGTTATGCTCCATAGATGAAGACGACAAGCACACGCAAGAGATAGAGCAACTAGTCGCTCAGTCTAAGAAGACCTTCACTATATCCAGCCAGTTCGGCCTGGAAGACTTTCCCGAGTTCGCGGAGTTATTTCAAGAGGTTGGTAAAGGGTACTAGTAACGCTTACCTTATTAATATTGTAAATATAAAAGTTTGTTTGTTTAATACCTCCATAACACTTAAACGATATAAGAAATAATTATAAAATTCGGTACAAATGTGTCATATGGGATGGAGAAGGACAAAGGCTACTTTTTATCTTGGTTAGTGAACACAGTCCGGCCAGAAGGACCAAAGTCTCGGGTAAGAGCTAGTAAATAATAAATAATCAATGTTTGGTTGAGGTAAAGATATAATATTATTCCATCTTTAAATGTGAGTACACGGATGATGTCGCGGGTTCAGTCTAGTAAAAAAAATAAAAGGGGAAAAGAAACGTAAATAGGTAATAAGTAGTTATATTCATTATCATCATTTCAGCCATTATCCGTCCACTGTTGGACATAAGCCTCCCTTATAGACTGCCATAAAGAACGGTCCTGAGCTACGTGCATCCACTGACTCCCTGCAACGCATTTCAGGTCGTCACTCCATCTAGTGGGGGGTTGTCCTACACTGCGTTTACCCGTACGTGGTCGCCACTCAAGGATCTTTACAAGTAGTTATATTGTACTCCTATTAATAATATTATAAATGCGAAAGATTGTGATGATGGGTCAATAGGTGTTTGTTACTCTTTCACGCAAAAACTATTGAACGGATTTAAATAAAATTTGGTACATGGGTAGGTTATATCCTGTCTTATAATACCCATGTGCCATATTTTTTCATTATTAAACTCCTATGTCCTAAAACATAGGATACTTAATGTGTGTGGACGAAGCCGCGGGAAATAGCTAGTGAATTAAAATGCATACACACAGTATATGTCTATATCTTACGATTTATCCACAGTTATTAGTTTTGTATTTATTATGTTGTTTAGTTTTTTTTTTTAATTAATTTATTTCATACGTTTATTATAGGGTGATGTGCCAGGAGCGAATGCAGAACGATCAAGCGACGCAGCGGCACTGACAAGTCAAATACTGATGACTTCACCTGGAAGAGATAGTCTCAGAGTAAATTTTAGATGATTAATAGATTGATTCGATTGATCGATATTCGATCGAATCAAGGTGGCAAGTATCTAATGGGGAAATCGTATTGAATTCTTTTAATGGGTAAAATAGTGAACACGCCTGCGCTGTCGGTATACACTGGCAGGGCACTAGTGAGGGATCATAAGCGAGAAAGAAGGCAGGCCAGTGGAACCGAATGGAGGTCGACCTGATAGGATATATTGCTAGCAATGGATATAATTTATTTGCATTACTTCCAGCACAAAAAAAAAACGACGATAGACGGAGATAGATATATGCAAAAAAGAGATAGAAGAATATATTTATATAAAAAAAGCAAAATGCATAAAAGAAAAAACATTTTGTTCCCATCATGCGTGCCTTCAAAAGAGCAAACTACTGTTATATTGTTGTGACCAAAAGCTAGTCGCGAAATTCCTTAACAAAAATGAAAGAAAAAATTGGGTAGTTTGCTTTCCTGATGCTTATTTATTTATTTTAAAATGTCAAAATGTATATAAACTGTACCGTTTAATCAGTCCTTTTAAACTGAAACTAATTCTTTTTTATTCACATATTATTTCAAAAATTCCTACGGGAAAGATTATTTCGTAGAAGCGACAACGGAGTTTTTTATATGAACCACATGAATTTTTTTAATTATAGAAAAAAGTAATAATTCGTCTGGATTTAGATAATATTTATTTATTTATTTTTTATTTATTCTTTATTGCAAAATAAAATTTTGTACAAATGGCGAACTTAATGCCATATGGCATTCTCTACCAGCTAACCATTGGGTAAAAACAGAAAGCGTACGAAGGGCAGATGTGGTGAAAAATATGTGACAATTGTAGTAGCACATTAAGGCAATACACAATATAAATATAATATACACATAAGAAATACACATATAATACATAAACATTACTTTTAATACATATGGATAAACTAATACATATGAAATATATACATATTATTAAATACTTAAATAATTTACATAGATACTTGTAATTTCAAAATATTTGTTCTAGGTGATCTACAACCACCTTCAGTTGCATTCAGAGAGGATATACAAGGAGTTGGGCATACAAGATGCAAGCGACTCCGAAGTGCCAATGAGCAAGGCACCATTATTGTACATAATGTTTCACATTGGACGGAGACCTTTCGATCAGGTGATTATTTTATAACTAGCTATTGCACGTGGCTTTGCACGCATGAAATCGTTTCCCTCACCACCCTTTAAGTTGACATTTTAAAAAATCCGTTCTTTGCGTATGCTTAAGTTGTAAAATAAAGTTATGTTCCAAATTCAAATCTCTAGATTTAGTAATGATATAGGCTGTACTTTATTTGTCAGCCAGGATAATTACCAAAAACAAATAGTTAGCCCATCGTGACGAATTCCACTAGAATTAATCACGATAGTTTCCAGGAGAAACCGCGTGGAGGTCGACCTGATAGGGTGTATTGCTGGCAATGGGTCAATTAGCCCCATTACTAACAATTCCTTTCCCACCATTACACAGTATTACTCTTATGTACTACTAAATAAAGACTTTTTTGTTAATATTTAATTATTGCTTTTAGTTTCTCCGTGGAGAGTGGCCAATGCCGTGGAGCAAGCTGGTCGCAGTAGCCAAATCGTGGTCGGGTATCGAAGGCGCCCGCGTCCACATCAACAGACGGACAGACATACGCAATGTGAAGTCACACGGCAAATCTAATAAGCAGCTTATCGAATTGTATGGATTATTTAAATCGCCTGTAAAAGGAGTACTATAAAAGATAATGCCTAATATAGATTTAAAATTGTGCTTATTAATAGAAATATGATTATTACTGTTATCAACATGAAGCCATTTTGATTGAACTGTTTTTTTTTTAATAGATGATAATAGAATGAAAATAGAATGGTAAATGATAATAGATGGCTATAAGTGCAGAGGAAGGCCTAAAAAGACATGGATGGACTGTGTGAAAGACGATATGGCCAGAATGGGAGTGAATGCGGAAATGACTGGGAATAGAGAAGAACGGAAAAGGAAAATTATGCCGACCCCAAATAATAATTGGGATAAGGGTAGGAATGACGGATGACGATGATTATAGAATGGTTACCCCGCTAGTGCTATCGATATACGCTGGTGGAGCGCCAGTGTGGGATGATAGGTGACGATGAAAGTAGATCAGTTAGCCCATTGTGATGAATTTCATTAGAATTAATCACGATGGTTTCCAGGGAGAACCATGTGGAAGTCGACCTGTTAGGGTCTATTTCTAGCAATGGGTCAGTTAGATCCCATTATTAATAATTCCTTTCCTTCATGATTAAACACTTGGAAGGCATTGAAAAAGGTTATAAGTATAGCCTTCCTCAATGTCTTCCAACAAATGTATTTTTTTTATACTATAAGCAAGCTGAAGTGTCAATGGATTGGTCACATAGCTCGAAGACTTGATAATAGATGATGGATCTTAATCCACCTGCGTTCACTGACTATAAGGGAGGCCTATGTTCAGCAGTGGACGGATAATGGCCGAGATGATGATGATGATGATGATGACGAAACAAAAACTGTTATTTTATTTTTTTACAATTACTTAAGTTTCTTATATGTATATAAGAAACTTAAGTAATTGTAAAAAAATAAAAATATATGTGGGATTGGTATGAAACGGAACGTATGTTAAAAGTGAATGTTGTATGCATAGATTGGAATACGAGGAAGAATGACAGATGTGGAGTGAAGTGAGAAACGGTTGGAAAAGTGAAAGTGGGAAGATGGACGACAAGTGAACGAGTGTGTATGCTCCTACGATTATTTTTCTAAGATTTAAATTTTGCAATTATATAAAGTTGAATCGCTTGTGTAAAAAGGAATTTTATTTCTGGCTCCTTGGACTACATATATAAGGAATAAGTTGATAAAAATATTGTTATTAATTCTAGGACAATTTGTATGCGAGCGATTACCAACATTTAAAGATTATCTATATTTTTTTTTAATGGATGATAATGGACTGGTACTTCTCGCCTACGCTAACGGCAAGTATACGCTGGTGGGGCACCAGTGAGAGGTGATAGGGTATTTACTAGCAAAGGGACTGGTAATCTGCATTACTAACATCCCCCCTCCAATTGACTATTATTAGTAAAGATTCTACGACTTTCCTTAATGATAGCAGTATTAAACAAAACAATTGTAAGCAACTAACCAGTGATATGGAATTCCAAAATATAACATTCCATTCTAAATTGTATAAAAAACATAGGTTCAAACATTTGTGTAAAGGTGACAATTTTTTTTTTATTATATGTATGTATAGATTTTCGAAAATTCTATCTACTCGTGCGAAGCCGTATCGGATCGCTTTAGGACGGCTTTACCAACTAGGTTTTTTTTTACAACTTAGAATGGCAAAAAAGCTGTCGGCCCACCTGATGGAAAGTGGTAATTGTCGCCTATAAACATGAGCAGACATAACAGAGTATACTGTTTCGCCCATGATACCCCCATGCGTTACTATTCCTGAGGACTCAGGTGTAATTCCTCTGTACCCTGTAAATTCACGCCATATCCCACCGTTCAAAACGGAACATAGCCATGCAAACACAACTGCTTTACGGTTGAAACACGAATGAGACAGAGGTACCCAAGCAAACGACTTGTACAAAGTCTCCCTCTGGTTAATATAACTTTAGTCTCCGAACTTATATTGAATTGAACAGTATAAAAACTATACATCTCTGGAAATTGTCTATATAATTGACTTATCTCAGTATCCACTGCGGTCCGATAGCAAACTTATAAGAAACAAGTTAAAGAAAATCCCAACTTTAAAGTTAAAGTTGCCTTCAGATGTCAATGCGAATAACGTAGCTATAAATTCACTTGAGAAAGTTATGACACCCTACCACCAAGTTACATTCTATTCTATAAACCTTGTTGTAAACTTTCCAGAGAGCTTACGCTGCTCAGAAATGTTTTTTAACGTCACAACTTTGTGATATTTATTTGGGGAAGTTATTCAGTTTTGTCTCAAGAACGCGAGTTTGGACTATAATAATCTGGACTTTTTTTTTTAATGTTACGCTTATATAGGTTTACTTAAATTCTTTGTAACATCGGTTTAAATCTAACGTGGTAATTGGACAATTTTAATAACATTTAACTAGTTTATTGTTTAAAGTTTTGTAAGTACACATCATATTTTAATGTAAAAACACCACAATTAATTTACCACAGTTATTTTTTAGTCGATATTGCTCAACTAGTTTCGGGACCATCCGGGACCCTTAGTCATGAGCGGCCGTGACGCGAGCGCAACCTAAATCAAGTCATTAGATTAATCTCCACAGGAGACAATAATACCTAAATCAAGTCAAGCACTACTAATAGAGCATTCACATTTAAATTACACTTAAATTAATCCCGGTATCCTTACATGAAAATACTTTGAATTAGGATTTTTTTTTAATGTAAGAAAATGCAATGATAATCCTGCCTATGCTATTGGTTGTACTATTGGTATATGGTGAGGTACCAGCTAGACATGAAAGGTATAGATCGATGAAGTCAGATCTATTAGCCTATCGAAAGTAATTCAGGATCAGTCACGATAGTTTCCAGTGGGAACCGCGCGGAGTTAATAATAATACGGGATATTGCTAGCCTAAGACTGTTAGTTCTTGTTAGTAACAAGATTAGATAATTAGGAACTTGGCATTAGGCATTTATCTTCGCCAAATTTCTCGACAGACAGATACTTCTAATCGTTGTAGTTGAGGATTGTTATTTATCTATTTTATATTTATTAATAATTAAAATATATGAGTAGCTCGTGCCTAAGTCGTTTGGTCCTGGCATTGAATGACCACGCATACCTTTTTCGTGGGTGTCGTAAAAGAACGGTCGATGGTTGGATAGCAGCGGTCCTCTTACATCACCAAAAGCCTAACCCGCCTGCCAAGCGTAGCAACTATTGGCATAGCCACTTTCTGGAGGAGATCTATATTCAGCAGTGGATAGTTAACAGCTAATATGATGATGCTGATGGATAAGTAAGCTGAAGTGGCAATGGGCTGGTCACATAGCTCGAAGAACCGACAACCGATGGGGAAGAAAGATTCTTGAGTGGCGACCGCGTACGGGCAAACGCAGTGTAGAACGACCACCCATTAGATGGAGTGACGACCTGAAATGCATTGCAGGGAGTCAGTTGATGCAGGTGGCTCAGGACCGTTCTTTATGGCTGTCTATGGGGGAGGCTTATGTTCAGCAGTGGACGGATAATGACTTGAAAGACGATGATGACGACTCCACCAATTAAAAATCGGTCAGCGAGCTTGAAACAACTATTCAGTCAGTTAGGAACAACTATGCATAGAATGTCTCTGAGGGATCGGATGAGAAACGAAGAAATTCGCTAAAGGACCAAGGAAACTGGTTATATCTGCCGTAGAACCGACAACCGTTAGAGCAGACATATTATGAAGTTAGAACCGCGTATTAGCAAGCGTAGTATAAAAAAGTTTGCGGCTAGATGTAGCAACCACATATTTTTTTATACAACTTAGAATGGCAAACAAGCTGACGGTCCTCCTGACGGAAAGTGGTAACCGTCGCCTATAGACAAGAGCAACACCATGGTCATAACAGAGTATACTGTTTCGCCCATGATACCCCCCATGCGTTGCCATTCCTGAGGACTCGGATGTTATTCACGCCATATCCCACCCTTCAAACCGAAACACAGCCATGCAAACACAACTGCTTCACGGTAGTAACGACTTTTGTACAAAGTCTCCCTCTGGTAATGTATGTAGAGTGGCTGGTAAAAACTTAAAACGAATAGCTGAAGATCATGTTGAAAGTACGCCACTTTGAGAGAGGCCAATGTTCTATAGCAGACTATTAAGCTGATTATGAGAATGATGAATGATGCTGATGAATTAATGATACAATTACTTTTTGTGTACAATAAAGAATGAAGAATGAATGGATGAATTTTTTTTTAAATAAAATCCAATTTAAATCGAGGTAAGATTGGAATGTTTTTCCTTGTTTTATGGAAGATCTTAAATTACCTACTATTTATGATCCTAATTGAAACTTGATCAAACACTGATGCAACGAACACGACACATGTTGCTTAATTAAATTTAGATACCAACCTATGTATGTACCAAGACTGTTTACTGTTAGTCAAATTGTTGATTCAGACGTTTCAGATCGTTTTGCTAAGTTTCTACACCTATTGGTAGATGGCTGCCTACCGATACAGGGTACGTTCGTTCAGGTAGACATACATAGACACGAATACGCATACAATTGCTAAGTACGCACATGAGTAAGGGATCGAAATGTAACATGTAAATTGAAGGCTACCATGTGGACGAGTACTATGGAAACTCATTCGAAATTCAAATGTAACTTACATTATATTTTAAAGTAATAACTACCGGTTTATCATCATCATCATCATATCAGCCTTTAACTGTTCACTGCTGATCATAAGCCTTCTCTTTGGGGTTACAACAGTAGTTACCACGCTTGGTAGGCAGATTGGCAATCACAGTTAGACTTTAGTGATGTTTAAAGAGGGACGCTGCTTCCCGTTCCTCGACCATTATTAGGTTTGTTTACTCACCTTTTGTGACACCCATGAGGAAGGTAGGAGTGAACTATTCTATCCCAGGCAGACAAGGTTAAGTTTCATGCCAAAACTAATAACAAAATAATCACTATCTGTTATTATGTCGATGCTGACGTTTGTAGACACTTGTGTAATTTGGAATTCATCTATACTTATAATAAATCTGAAGAGAGGTCATTTCTGTACATGAAATATATTTCCAAAATAACTATCA